CCCAGGGGAAGCCACCTGCCCACCATCCCCTGCAGCTGCAGCTGGCCAGACCAGAGGGAGGGAAGCCCAGATCCTGGATGCCTGTGATAGGCTGGAGGAGGGAATCCTAGGTCCCAGGTGTGGGGCCCAGGCATAAGTGATTAGGGGCAATCAAGCCAGCAGGGGAACAGTTAGGAGCCAGCAGTTCTAGATTGTGAGAGGGATGTCTGACTGCCAGGTACCCCCTGAGGGATCCCAGATTGGAGAGAGTTCAGGCCAGGCTGAGGGACACCCCTCCTCCCCACCCCTCACCCTATATACACATTTCGTACACTGGGCCACTAGTAATAATAATAATTCATGGTATAGTTGAAATTGTATAGTGCATTTCAATCTTCTTGTTAAAGAAGATTTGTATAATAGAGTCAAGAAGCTTATATCTGTAGTACATGACTTGGTCATGATGGACATCTAGCTCCTCCCCCTCACCACCAAGAGCAGTTACCTTTCACAATTGTGCTGATAATTCTGGCTGGTTGAATGCACAAAGGTTTGTAGGTTTAACAAGTAGTATGTGATTTTGGGGGTAGGTATGGCCCATTATTTTTTGTAAAATAATGAAAAGATAATGTGATCATATTGGAGATTAATGATGGCTGTTCCAGGAAGGTGCTTGGGGCTCCCTGATGGTTCTTGTCACTGGCGTTAAGAAAATGGACTAGAGTGAATTCATATTTTACAAGATGTTCCATTGGCAGTACATCAGCAGTCGACGCTGCCTTACAAGCACTTACCCAATTATAAGGTGGCCTTGTGATAAGCTGCTTTTGCTTTTTCCATATTCTGCAGTGCAAGGATAGCTCTGGATTCCCACACTTGTGGCTTTAAAATAGTTTATATTTCTACTAAGCCTCACAATTCTGGTTATTGCTACAATTTACGAGGGTTTTCAGTAGAAAATAATGCAGGCCAATGCAAGCTAATGCACATGCAATCAATGCCTTGCAAAGCTTTTAATCACACGTTCTTCCTGTACAGATCAATGGGTAAGGAAGGTATCCAATTACTTTCCTGAGTGTGTTTGAGAATAGCATTAAGTGAAGAGATCCTGACATGACCACCTGTTTGTAACTGCATTATTCACGAGACCTTTCCCGCGAGCATCAGACGCTGCAGCAGCGGAGGTCTCTGGCAGACCTTGGCTGGCTTGGCTTGGGTTGCACTGCAGTGGAATCTTTGTGTGCATCGGAAGGATGTGGTGTTTTCTTCTGCAGACAGCAATGTGAGGACAAAATGTACATATTTCATTTAAGGTTCAGGAGAAAAGCAGACACCCCGGAGATGATTCTAAGTCATTTCTGTGATGTAAAAGAAAATAAATCAACACATCTTTAACCAAACTGGAGCTGGTATTGCAGTCTTGCTTGCCCCAAATATGTCAGTGCTTCGCCTTCATCTAAAGAAGGTTCACTCAGTTGAGAGAACAAATACATTTTTTTCACCAAACTATCAAGCATGATTGATAGTCAATGGAAAGATGGAAAGGTGATATTTATTCAGCAAAGATAGCTCTTTCACACACAGAGACAGCATGATATACCCAACAATTAAAATGTACTCCTGCTTCACATTGCACTCTATTGTGGACTTATGATAGCTCCCTTCCAATTCAGTTGTTTAGGAATCTTGGAGAGATTTTTACTGAGCAAGAAGTGAAAGACAATGTAGGATTGGAAACTATAGCCCATGGGATATATTAGACTTCTGTGCTCTCTACTGTATAACAATTATCCAGGCTTAAACTTTTAAGGATATAATACTGCTAGAATGGTGTGTATTTCTCTTTTAATGATTTGGATCTTTGCCTGGAAGTTTTGGGGAAAGGTTTGCAATCACCTAAGTGTCCTTCAAAGGTTATTATTTTTCCTGGTAGCTTAAAAAAGGTAAAATATAATGTGGCTATTCACTGCTAATTTATGATTACTAGTATATGAACCAAGTTTTTCTATCATATTGGTTGTCATTCATTGATTGATGCCTTCACTTTATCTGTTTCATAACAGATTGCCCACCTTCATCCGTATTTCAATCAGTAGAAAGAAGTTAAAGAGGATTTGATTTATTTACCTGGTCAGTCGTAACTGAAAATAGAGACTATGAAATGTACTCTTTATTCCAGAAGGCCATGTGTCTAGCTAAAAAAACAGGAATACTAATATCATAGGAGAATGGAGACACCATTATGAAGGGCATCTTTTATCCTAACACCCAACAGCAAAAGGCTACTCAACCGTGGATTTAAAAAGAGAGGACAGACCAGTTAGGCTTATTCTTGATCTGGATCTAAGTAAGTTAGACAAGACATAGACAAAATTCCAGAGGGAAAAATATCACACAGCATACCAAGAACTAAGAAAATCATACCTTGAAGGGGAAAAGAGAATTTGAGGCACTAATACTAAGTTAAGTCAGGTGATGAAATTGTCTAAGATGTATTTTAAAGCATTAATCAATTAAAATTTTCTTGAAAGAAATCTAAAAAGTAGAAAACTTCAAAAGCAATTGATTTTATAAAAAGATTAGAATTATGAAACTAAAAAAATATAACAGAAGTAAAAATCTACATAGAAAGGCTCAATAGTAGAGTAGAAATGAGAGAGAAGAGAAATCAGTGACTTTACGTACAGAACAATAGAATTCACACAAGATGAACAACAGAGAGAAAAAAATAGACTGGAAAAAAATGAGCCTGAGGGATCTGTGAGACCACAACAGAGGAATCATCATTTATATCATTACACTCCAAGAAAAAAAAGTAGAAAAAAGTGGCTGAAATGCTGTTTGAAAAAAGTATTGACTAAAAAAGTTGTAAATTTGGTAAAAGACACGAATCTATTAATACAATTCCAAAGGCTTGAGTGAATGCTAAAAAGAATAAACACTAAGAAATCTATGTTAAAGATATGCCAAAGTAAAAACTTTGAAAACTAAAACCAAGAAAAAATCTTGCAGCAGTTGGAGGGAGATAACATGGCACTTATCCAGAATAACAATGCAAATGATAATGGATTTCTTATTTGAAGTAATGGAAACTAGAAAGAAGTGGCACAATACATTTCAAGTGCTAAAAGAACTGTCAAATGCAAATTCTATATTCTATAAATTTATCCTTTAGGAATGAAAGAAAAATAAAAATATTCTCAGAGGAAGAAGAGTTTAAAAATATTACTAGCAGATGTCATTTTTAAGAATTCAGTTTCACTCAATATCTAAAAATATAATTTCAACATGTAATAAATATTAAAATATTACAAAGAAATAAATTACTTACTCTGAAGATTGGCTGAACAGATTTTTTTCCAAAGGAAGGAATAATGGAGCATCAGAAAGGAAGAAGGAATAATGGAAAGAGCATAAATATGGGTACATTAAAAAAAAACTTTCTTTCCTCATGAATTTTAAAACCAATTTGATGATTGTAACAAAAATTATAGCACCATTTGATTACTGTGACAAAGCTATTTTAAAACAAAGTAGAGAAAGGGACCTTAAGGGGCTTCCACACTTCACTCAAAGTGCTAAAATGTTAAAATTATTAGCCTGTGTAATTCATAGGTAGATAGATTGTTAGGTTGGTAGTAATACCCAGAATAATCATTACCAAAAATATACAAAGAGATATACTCAAAAACACCATAAATAAATCAAGATTTCTAATTGATAAAATCTTTTTCTTCAGAGGTGTGCTTTACTAATTTCCAATCAGAACCCATAACTTCTTCTGTATACATAATTTATACCAGTGGCATAAAAATTATCACATATTATAATCAGCTATATAGTTATGTATTCCCTGCAGTATTCGGTAAGTTATTTTGTCTCAGATTTGTCTTTGTATGTATGTTTGTATGTATGTATGTATGTTTATCTATCCAGGATCTGGGTTTACCTGGGATTGTCTCTACTTTTAAAATTTCCTTCACAGAAGAGGACATAGTGATGGACATAGAGACTAAGACAAACATAGAGATAGATACTCCTTATATTTATATAGCAATTTCACTAATCTTAAACTTCCTCTGTCTCTACTGAGGTCATTTATTACTAGACAGTTATTGTACAGAGTAATTAATTATTAAGGCTCTGAGACTAGACCTGGTTTAGAGTCCTGGCCTGTCATTTAAAAGTTCTGTGCTTGAGCCGGGACTGCTTTGGCTCAATGGATAGAGCGTTGGCTTGGGGACTGAAGGGTCCCGGGTTCGATTCCAGTCAAGGGCATGTATGTTGGTTGCGGGCATATCCCCAGTAGGGGGTGTGCAAGAGGCAACTGATCGATGACTCTCTCTCATCGATGTTTCTGGCTCTCTATTTCTCTCCCTTCCTTTCTGTACAAAATCAATAAAATATATTTAAAAAAAAATAAAAGTTCTGTGCTTGATAAAGTTCTTATAACCCTTCTAATCTTAATGTTTTTCATCTATAAAATGAGAATCACCATTTCATGAGTGTTGTGAATGCTAAGCTTATGCATGAAAAACATTTAGCATGATACCGGACATAACAGTCTGCCTAACAAATGGTAGCCATTTCCAAATCGTTATAACCCTTTCAGTAATTATACTTATTAGAAGACCAGAAACAATTTTTAAAGAAGCAGATATTGGGAAATAATAGCATATCAATAATTTTTTTTGCATACTAATAAATTTAGTTTCAATATTTTTTTCTAATTTCAATATTCAGGTTCTAATAATACTGAAATATATATAATGAACTTAATATGATTTCAATGAAAATAATGTTTTTTACATGTTGTTAATATGTAGGGGTCTCTGGTAAGCTTACTAATAATTGAATTCACTAAATTAAGTGAATAAAAAGAAAGTAGAAATTTTCCCAGTTTTGAATTTTGAACCTGAATGAACTATAATGTAAGACTCATTTATAAAGTTTTGTTTGTTTTGTTTATTATAGAAAGTTGCCAAACTGACTTGCCAAAGAAAAGACAAAACTTAGTGCGATTAACAGGTTGCATTTATTATTTTCTCTAAAGTATCTGAAAAGTAGAATATATTGTATGACTTTGTTAAAAATAATTCTTTACACAAGTTAGTGGCAAACACAGTTTACAAGTAAGGGATATAACTTTCAAACTAAAATCAGTTTGTGGTCTTTATGGAATTTACAGAAGCAAGTTAAGATTAGGTTAAATATCGGAAGCAGTATCTGCATTAAAGCACTTCCAAGGCACAGAAAACTGATAAGCTTAGATAAAGCACCAGGTCAACAGGTTCCCAAGTTAACGCTGATCTCTTATGGTCCCCATCACATTCCTGATGGAGAGCGGGAGGAGAGAGGGAAGCAGCACATAGGAGAACACAGAACCCTGAAGTTATACTTGCTCAGGGGGATAAGGTTCCCCAAAGGCATCTTGGTCAGATCAATACATTTCTGAGGAGCAAAGATAGTTAGATTATAACAGTTAAGGCTCAAGATCATGCATTCATAATAAAATACAATTGATATTTGAACGGCATTGAATGTCCTACAACATATTGAAAACTTGTCATTTAAGCTTACAGTATAGATTATTTTTGTTTTGAATCCTTTAGGGTTTTATAGGCACATTGATAGCAAATTTTATACAAAATGAATAAATTCCAGGATCTCAAACTTAGTGGATGTGACTGCATTTTTATGATGATATCGAAAAACAATTTTGTGCCTATCTTTTCAAAATAATTTTAATACCTAAAATTAAAGTGTTTCAGACATAAAACATTTTACAAAGTAGTTATGTATGTGATGGGACAGAAACAACAAAGAACTTGGAAAGATGAATGAGTAAGTGTAACCTAACTTGCATACATTAATGTTATAAAATCCCAATAGCAAACTTACACTTTAATCTTCTAATTCAGAGTTCTCACAGTTTCTTTGATCATTTTCTCTCTCTAAATTATAAAGAACCATAAAATACAGCAAAACGTACTTCAAATTTGTCAGTTTCCCAATGAAATTGGCCAATTTCCCAGGATCAAGACACTGTGGAAATCCCTAGACACAATGGTAGCCCTTGACTCTTGTAATTCATTTTATTATATGCATTTGCCAGATCTTATATACTCAATGTTACATTATGGATAACTAGCAAAATACATCAGGCCTATGATAGTGCAAGACTTGAGTCTATTAGCATAGACTATTATATATCATTGTAATAAATGTACACTTTAAAAAAATGTGTTTCCCTTTATTTTTCTTCTTCTAAGAATCATTCTGCTGAAGAGCTGAGCTTAGGTGAAACTAGCCAGAGATGAGAAACCAGGAATCCAAGAACAATGAAAAACATGAATCCCCCTTCCTCATACCAAAAAGAAAAAGAAAACAATAAGAGATCTCCAATCAATCTTTTTCAAATGTGGTTTGATTCAGCCCAAGGTCTTTGTGATTGATCTTAAAGGCACTTTCTAAGAACTGTCCTTCATCTTCCCCCAATTGGCATCTGCGTAGCTGAGTTCATGATTTAATAGCTTGTAGCATTGAACTGTTTTTAAACACTATCCTATATTAAGAAAGAGGGGACTTAAATCCCATCAAATTAAATATACATAAAATATAAAAGACCCTTTTGCTACTAATCTCTGCCACCTCCTCCCCATTCTCCAGAGGAAGTACACACTATGTAAATCATATATAGAACCCACACATTGGGTTATCAAATGGGGCATTTAAGCCACTTTAATTCACTACAGTGACTTAAAGTGTTATCTTGGTTATGTTGAATACAGAGGGGTAAAATGGTGAATTTAATATAAAAATCTTGTGAAAACAAGCTTAACTTCCATGAGTTGTAAACAATTGATGATTAAGTGAAATCTTTACTATCTCTAAGCTTTTATTTCTGTCTTAGACTTTTAACATTTTTGAGCTATGTAAAGAAGGTGAAAAGGCGGTAGATGGAACTAGATCTGGCTTTGAATAGTTGATTTTCCTAAACTTTCTCAAATTAGGCATCTTCTTTGGTTGCTTGAGCTTCCCTGTCATCATCTATCATATGGATATCTGATGTTTTTTTGTCACTCTGCCTCAGACGGTAACTTTTATAAGCACGCTGGATGATGGTTGCCGAGACTGCCTCTTGTTTTCGTTTCAGGGTAGTTGTAATGGGCTCATATGTGATCTTAAAAGGGTTAGCTAAAATAAACCCCGATTCCATCTCTGAAAGAAGTTTCTCCATCCTCACATCTTTACCCACAACTCGCTTTGTAAAAGCAAGTAAGATGTCCAGACAATGAATTCTGTCCCCCACAGCCATTGGAAGATCCATGGCCACTAGCTGGCCCTTGTTTGGTTTTGCCATGAAAAGAGGAGCATCCAGAGCAGCTGCAAAATCTGAGAGCTTGCTAGAATCTATGTACTGGGTCCCCTCAGGGTCAAACCTCTTCCATACCTGAAAGAATTTCCTAAAATCATCTTCACTCAAGGTCTTGGCTCTTTTTTTAGAACCAATATTTACAAACTCCATAATAAGAGCAATGTACATGTTGACAATGATCAGCCATGCTAGGAGGATGTAGCTGACAAAATAAATAATCCCGACAATGGGATTACCACAATCTCCTCTCACCTGGGTCCCAGGGTTAATTTTATCGGGATCACAGTCAGACCATTTACTGTTAAAAATTGCATTGAGCATCCCATCCCAACCAGCAAATATTGTAACCTGGAAAAGACAGAGCATGCTGCTGCCAAAGGTTTCAAAGTTAGACACATCGTTAATCCCAGCTTCCTTTTTAACATAGGCAAAATTGTACATTCCGAAGATGGCGTAGATGAACATGACCAGGAAGATGAGAAGGCTGATGTTCAGCAGCGTGGGGAGGAAGAGCACCAAAGGGAGCAGCAGCTCATGGAACACCTTTGGTCCTCTCCCGGGACGCAGGATGTGGACGATCCGGGAGAGAACGATCAGTTGCAGGACGGAAGGAGATACAAAGTAGTATTCTCCTAGCTGAGGCAGAAGTAGCCCTTGATGTTGGGAAAGATAAAGCAAACAAACAAATTACTTATATTTCATGGTACTTGGAGGAATATACATTTATTTTACACTTCACCTTTTTTCTATAAGTGAAGATCATTTTATTCATCCTCCGGATATAGCATTTAGCACACATTGAAAGTTTGGGTTAGCGTTAGCCAAATAATAGCTGTGGCAATGCTCAGAGTATCTAGTAAAATTTGGAGGAGAATTCTTTGCATCATCGCCTTAAGAGTATTATGTCTTAAATACCTCTAGAATAACAGAGGGCATGAAACTATACATAGGACAGTAGTCATTATTTTCTGATTGTAGTTGAATCAAGAAGTTTAACTCGATGCAACCTTAATTGGATACTTAATAAAGGTGTTGCACAAATATGCAAAGATGATTAATGTGGCTCTGTCCTCAAAAATTCTGGAATCTATAGAGGAAGACATTTAAACTAATGATAATGCAAAGCAGAGAAATCTGGTTGGTAAATATAATTACAAAATTTTTTTTATTGAATTTATTGGGGTGACGTTGGCTAACAAAATTATACAGGTTTCAGGTGGACAATTCCACAGCACATCATCTGTACACTGTATCCAGTGACTCACAGGTTATAATTTAATTTATTTATTTCATAAACAGTATTTGAGCTCCTCGGAGCTTTCCATGTGAATTGATTATCTGAGTCTTTGCCTGGAACAATTGTTTTGCAGTAGAGGGAACTATGAAAGTGAAGACAGAACTATAAAACAAGGTGAAATTATAACTGTCATAAAAAGCATGAGGATGATCTCTGGAAGTACTGGAGGGGATGTGGTTCATTTTGAGTTGAAAAAGTGGGGGAGAAGAGAATCACTAGTCTCTGGAGTAAAACTAGTGACCTAGAGCATTAAATTCTACTGTTGTGAAAGCTGTAAGTAGTTTTAGAGATTAGAGGGAAGGGAAAATAGTGAGCTTGAAAGTTTATATTATGCTAGGATATACTGTATAGATATTTAGTGTCATCCTAGAAAAATAACCTAGTTGATATGCTGAAGGGGTAATTAAATATTTACTTTAATACACAACATTAAAGTCTGTGTATTAATTCAAACAGTATTTTTGAATATTTTATATATGTCAGGCATGTGTACAAACATTTTTATATAATATGCAAAACTGTAAAGCATTTCTGTTGGAAATTACTGCTTTGCTGAGTAAGAGAAGACATTTACTATAAGAACTTGCTTGAATTAATATTACTACAAGTGAAAATCTGATTACATGAAATCTTACCTATAATAGAGAAAATGACCACTATAAAATCTAAAATGTTCCATCCACTGGTGAAATAGTTACAACGGAAAGCGATGAGCTTCAGCACGCATTCTCCAGTGTATAGAATAACGAAAAGTAGCTGAAGCCAGATGACAGCGGTATCCATTTGGCTACTCTGTTCATCACTTTGAATCATAAGGGTTATTGCTTGGAAACAGATAAGGACCATAATGATGATATTAAAAGCTTGACTTGTAACCAAGTCAAAGACGATTCTCTGGAACTTGTTCTGTGGGTGAACAAAAAGGTGTAATACTCATATTAACAGGATATCTATACACACGCACATAGACTTTAGGTTTATATCTTTCCTCCCAGCATAAATAGGAGATACAGTCAGGGCCTAAGTTTTTATCAAACTAGAATTATAGCATACAAAGCAAATAAGACCATCAAAAGCTTTGCCAAGGAACACATTTAGAAAAATTTTTGTCAAAAGCATTTGTTAAGAATTTTAAAAACATGTTTATTATAAAGATGAATATATCAAGGAAAATTTTTAAGAAATTTTAAAAAATCTAAGTGTTTTCTTACTCTTGGGTGAGGTATTGTTTTTTGAGAGTCCTCCTCATATATCAGTTTCTTCAGTGCTAGATATTGTTTCTCTTGTTTTTCTGTTAAAAAGATATTGGAGCCTCCCTGGTAAAGAAATGAAAGAAAAATATATTAAAATCAGATTGAATCCTAATTTAATTTTATATTAATATTCATTTTGGAAACCTTGGTAATGATTGATTTAATGTTTAAATTAAAGAAAGGCTTAACTGCAATGAAATAAATCATGTTTAAACACGTCTGATTTTCTGCACAAAAATCCATATAAAACATATATGGAATACCATATTTTCTGGTGTATAAGACGACCCCTAATTTTACAGTTAAAACATCGGTTTAGGCCTATATTCGCTGTATAAGACTACCCCCCACTTCCGAGACAACACCAGTTCTTTTTTTAATAGACCGCCTCTCTGACGCTGGCCAATCTGAGCAGGCTTTTTATTATGCTAGAACACAGTGTACATGTTCTGTACCCAAAGCTACACTGTGTTCTAGTAAAAAGGCTTTTTATTTTACTAGAACACAGTGCACATGTTCTGTACCCGAAGCTACACTGTGTTCTAGTAAAAAGCCTGCTCAGATTGGCCAGAGTCAGAGAGGCGGTCTATTAAAAAAAGAACTGGTGTTGCCTCGGAAGTGGGGGGTAGTCTTATACAACGAATATAGGCCTAAACCTATGTTTTAACTGTAAAATTAGGGGGTCGTCTTATATGCCGGAAAATACGGTACATATTGGTAGTGATTGATTTTAGTTATCTTTTGGGGCACCTTCCTGTGGGTGGTCAGCCTATTTTAAATTTTCAGTTTACTGAGCTACCTCTTGTTAGACCAAGACAAAGGGGAAAGGGAATCTCTGAAAGGCTTATCTTTCTAGAAATTTGACTATCGACTTCCCTAATCCCATCTGATTAGTAGAGATTCAGAGTTGTTTGTTTAGCAGAATCTGCACATAGCTAAATTTTGCTGACATGGCTTATACTTTTAAAATTAAACTATTCTTTTCTTTGCTTTGTTAGAAGGCTTTCCTCATCCAATAAAAAGTATGTCCCGGTGGTTAGAATAAGTAGACGTGGATGAATTCTGAAACCTTTGCAATTTGTGGAAGCATTTACATGAAAATGGCACCAAAGAAGTGGTTCCATTCTGACTCTGAATTCTTTCTGATTAAGCACTCCTATTTAAACCAATCCAACTCAAATGTATGACTCTCTCTTCTTCTAGCATGAAAGCTACTCTAACTGAGAAGATGTCTATGCTGCTTATGACTCTGAAGACTGAAAATTTCAGAGAGGAAAAGGTGTAGTCTTCACATATTAGCTCAATGCACAATGTTTTTTTTTATTTCTTAGCATGCCATTATTTATGAACATACTAGTACATATAGAAACACTTGGAATCTTTACCTTTTAAATTTGTCTGTACATATTTGAATATAGAAAACAATGTATAGAATGAACATTTTAGCAATGTTTATCAATAATCAGGAACATCGATCTTTTTTTTAGGTGAGTACCAAATAGAAATGACATTAAGTTGAATGCAAAATCAATCATTTGAAGCAGGACATTCTTATAAATGTGTTTGATATTTATACTTATCTTTATTTTATGCTTGTTGAAATTAGCAAGAATAATACCGACCAGCATAGTCAGAGGAAGAAATAATCCAATGATAATAAAACCAATAAAGTAACAATACATATAGACATTCGCTTCAAAATCAGGCTGCATATCTACCTAAAAGTGAAGTTAAAAAATAAACAAAATGAGAAAGAGCATACAGGATTTTTAGAGCAGTGAAAATACTCTATATGATATTGTAATAATGGATACATGTAACTATACATTTGTCTAAACTCAAAGAATGTACAAGTGAATCCCAGGGTAAACTATGAACTTTGATTGATTGTGACATGTCAATGTAGATTTATTTTTGGTTAAAAAGAAAAAAAAAAAAAAAATATATATATATATATATATATATATATATATACACACACACACACATACCATTCTGGTGAACGATGAGAAGGCCATGCATGTGTGGAAGAAGGGGGTATATGGAAAATATTTGTACCTCCCTCTAAATTATGTTGTAAACCTAAAACTGCACTAAAAAGAAATTCTTTAAAAGTAAAAATGTATAAAAAGTGACAAAACAAGGAAAATATTGGTACTGACTTTTTAAAACATTAGATATTTAAAATAATTTCTGATAAAAATATCCAACAATGCTACTTGAGGTATTGTCCCTCTTTGATCATTGGTAAAGGGATATCATTGCTTTGTTTACTGGATTTTAAAGTTATTATATTGGTTTAATAATTGTTATGAAGTCTGATAATCCTTTAAGTAGGCCTATTGGGCCTCAACCATTGTATATAATCCTGAAAGGACTTCATTGTCCATGAAATACTCAATCTGAATAGCATTTAACTTTTGTATAGCATCAGTATTTGCTTTTACACTGTTAATTATTGTTCTTGCTGGTGCCCTGTTCTTAAATTAGAAAAATTGCTTTGCTTGAATTATAACAATGGCTTTAGGATTATATTGTACTTACACCAGTAGAGTCAACAGCTGAATTCATAATATCGATCCATCCATTAAATGTTGCCTGTAAAAAAATGGCATGTGTTTAATTCTTATGGAAATTTTATGCTTCGTGGCAAATTAAAGTAAAACTCAATCTTTTATTAATATAGTAAAACATTTGATTAGTAAGACTGACCACACTTCAATATATTGTGAGATTCCTACCATTTTCATTATTTCATTTATGTTGTCTGTTAGCAAATATTTAACACTACTTAGCTTAACTGTAGTTGGTAACTAAAAATATTTTAACATAGTATAAATAGAAAGGCAGAAAAATAAGTAGAGAGATAGGTAAATAGTAAATAAATACATGCTGCTCAGGTATCATAGTTACTTGTAACTGCCATTACATGTGCTTTTCTATGGGGAAGTCAAGACAAGAATGGTTCACCTCCTCACATCTGCCAGATGTTGAGTGGCTGAGCAGTCATTCTCCAAGCACTAAGTAGGAATAAAACTGTAGTAACCTGAGATGGACCAAAACTGTGACCCTAGTACATGATCAGAGTACTAGGTTTGGCCAGTACCTGCCATTTCCCCAGTCAGTCCTGCCTTCATCTCCCCTGCCTTCTCCAAAAAGTATAGGAACTGCTTCACTTTTGTTTTTCCAAATGAACCTACTTGTTTATAACATGTATCTATGAACAAATAATAGATAAAATAATTTATTTCCAATTCTATGAACCATCCACATTTTGTCCTTATATTTACCTACAATATGAATGCACATGTAAAAGTTAATAAAATCAAAAGCACACTTACTACTTGAAGCAATGAAAGGAAACCATTTCCAACATTATCAAAGTTCAGTTTTGCATTCTCCCATGGCATGGATTCATTGAATAGGAGGCTTGCACATTCAGTTTCATTACTGACTTCATATGTAGGAAATCTTTCTCCACTAGTTGGGTCAATGCATTCATAGAACTTGCCAGCAAATAAGTTTACTCCTATGATGCTATAAGCCAGCCAGATCATAAGGCAGACCAGAAGCACATTCCAAGCAGGTAAAGTTGTTTTCATCAAAGCTCTCACAACCACCTGGCATATAAAAAGCAAACATGTAAACTTTAGGTACGAAATATAAAACTATTTTTATCAAATTTAGAATGCTAATTAATTTAATGTCATATTGAAATAACAAAACACAAAAAAAGGTTATCTTTAAATCATAGACATGCTGGTATTTGAATAACCAAAATAAAAATTTTCAATTAAAAATATACATGAAAAATCCAGATATTCTCAAAATGTATTTAGTAAAAATAATCATTAAAAAAATAGCAGAGCTAATTAGTATAAATGCTAGAATAAAGAATTATTTTACTGATTTAACACCTGTGTATCAACTATTGTGTGAGAAATGGGCAAGATAAATGAACCTGTATACATGTATAAGATTATCTAGAAAGCATATGAGGCTCTGGCTAGGTTAGTTAGAGCATCGTCTTTTTTTGTTGTTGTTAATCCTCACCTCGGGATATTTCTCAATTCATCTTTTAGAGAGAGTGGAAGAGAGAGGGAAAGACAGAGAAAAGCATCAATGTGAGAGAAATATACCAATTGGTTGCCTCCTGCATATGCCTTGACCAGGGTCCAAGCTGGGGAGGAGCCTGCAACCAAAATACATGCCCCTGACCAGATTCAAACCAGGGACCCTTTGGTCTGTAGGCTGACTATCTACTGAGCCAACTGGCTAAGGCTAGAGCATCATCTTGATATGCCAAGGTTGATGCCAAGGAGGACACTAAGGCTGACACCAAGGTTGTGAGTTCAATCCTCAGTCAAGGCAAATAAAAGAATCAATCAATGAATGCATAAATAAATGGAACAACAAATCAATGTTTCTCTCTTTCTCCATCTCTTCTCTCCCCCCCTCTATTTTTCTCTCCCTCCCTCTCTCTCTCTCTTTCTCTCATCAATAGAAAGCATCTAAAAGGAGAGTAAAATAGGACCAGGCATAATTGTTAGGGATTCTAACCTTCAGGAAGAACAGCCTACCTAGGAGAAAGTAAAGAAGTGGCAGAGGACATAAAAGAAGACCAAGAGATTGTAGATCAGTGAAATCAAGTCAGAAGACTGTTTCAAGAAACACGAATAAGCAGTAGCCTATCAAATTCACAAATCACTTCACTGAATCACTCTATGTCACTGGTGAGATACCGCAGAGTCGAAAGCTTGGGAAGTGAATTAGTGAATTAACAGAAATAGCTTATAATCATTGCCTTCATTTCTTCAACTCCCTTCATTCTTTAATATTACAATCAGCATTGCATTTATTCTTAATCATTCCACAAATGCTGGTATGGCAAATGTAAAAACAGTTTAACATCTAATAGAATATTTTCAATCTTTGCTATAGAGAGAAACATCAATGTGAAAGAGAAATATCAGTGGGTTGCCTCCCTTACTCACTCTGACCAGGGATCAACCTTGCAACCTTTTGGTGCACAGGATGATGCTCAACCAACTGAACAACTCAGTCAGGACAATCTTTGCTATTTCCTTATCTTTCAGTCACCACTTAACACTTTGACTCTCATCCCTCAAAATCATTTATTTTTTCCTTTTTTCTGAGTCATCATTGATTTTCTTTTCTACTAGTCTAACCTTTCCTTCCTCAGTCATTACTGGATACATATACATTTGCCTGTACTTTCTTGCTTATATTCCTTAGTTTTCTGGGCTTGAATATCTTGATTTTTAATTATGGTATCAAAAAGACTTTATTTCTAAAACTAAGTCAGAAATCCTTTGTTGACAGACACTTTAGGTATTTTGATAGGTCCACTGATGTTTCTGATGACAAAATGCCATGCTAATTACATATAATTGCACATATGTAAAAATGAAAGCTATGGATATGGTTGACCCAAATATTTCAACAGGGGGAGAAGACCCAAAATTCATTCAATACATAAAATATTAATCTTATAATCATGTAGCTTCCTTATATAATCAAAGACATATCTTCAGAGAACATTCAACTACAGAATTTCCTGAGGTTTCAATGAAGCTTAAGATCTAGAACTGACCTTGATCTAAGAATGGCTACTACTAGTATATACCTGTCCTTGAATTGTCCATGGCTACAATCTCACTGCCATTCTAGTGAATGTTTGGCATAAAATAGTAGAGTGCTTAATTTACAATAAGCATGGGCAGCTTTCCTGGCAAATATCTTTCTACTTTTCTCTAAATTAGGTGCAGACAATTTGCTAATAGAAGCACTCTTCATCCTGTGTATCTAAATTTATTAGAGAAAAAAAAAACAACCCTGGTATTATCCCATAACATTTTTTTACAGTAACAAAAAGTTTATTTTAGTTACATTAATTAACATCTCTCTGTGTGTTTCCCAGCTTCATGGAGGTATAATAGATAAATAAAAGTTGTATATATTTAAGGTGTACAAAGTCATGATTTGGTATATGTATACATTATAAAATGATTCCACAATCAAGCTAATTAACTACATCTAGTTCTTTTTTGTTTGTGGTATTGGTGGTGAAAACACTTCAGGTCTACTCTTGGAAAATTTTAAGTATACAGTATATTATCAACTGTATATATCTCCATGCTATACATGAAATCGCAGGCCTTATTCACCTTATAAATGAAAGTTTGTGCCCTTGATCAATATCTCCCTTCTGTAATTCCCACCCCACAGTAATTTGAGTTAACAGATCATCTGTAGTTTACAGCCCTAGCATATTCTATAAAAATTTTCTATGGCTATGTTTATGGTGGAAACTTGGTTGTCTTGTTATTTTAACCTCTTCAACCACATTTTACTTTTCAGTTTATTTTCTTCCTTATTTTGGTTTCAAAGCAAGCCATTGGGGCTGATACCACCTTGTGGGCCTCTATAATACTGTTACAAATATTTCATAAGTTAACCAGGGACATGAATAGTTGTATTAGTTATTATTTAATTATTAATGATAATCCCATAATTCTTTTTTGCATATTCCTAGAAACTAAAAAAAAAACTTATTGCAATAATACAAAGCCTAACTTCAGAAAAATTAACTAGGTGACTTACATGAAATGAATACCAAATACTACAAAACTCAAAGGGATTTTCTTCAGGTTTAACAGGAGAGAATGATAGTTCCTCTTCAAAGGCAACTTGAGCTACGTCTAAAATTCATTTCTCAAGTCCCTAAGTCATAACCTGTATTTTACTAAAAACCGTGTAGCTGTATGTTTTTAAGGATCAAACCAAACATTTATGATCAGTTTGCATAGACATTTCTTTTCTAGCCTCAATTCATAGTAAACAATGACAACATTTCTAAGAAATATATCTGAATAGTAGGAAATCATATATAAACTTGCAGAAATACACAGAAAAAAACCCTCTGATCTTTAGTAACATGGGAATGGCAATTGTTCTGATAAAATAAGTGGCAGATACTGTAAAGAGCATGTTATGAAATTTCAGTCTCCAAACACAGAGGGTCTCAGAATAACCAAGTAATTGCAGGGCTGAAGGGAAGTGAGCCAGTCCTGCCTGGAATAAGGTTTCCATGTTGTACATCAGCTCCTCACACCCCTCAAAGATGGGAGGCAGTCTTCTAGTAATCTTCCTGGTAAAACCAAAAGATCTTATTCTTTTAAAAAAAATATATATTTTTTATTGACTTTTTTTTACAGAGAGGAAAGGAGAGAGATAGAGAATTAGAAACATCGATGAGAAACATTGATCAGCTGCCTCTTGCACACCCCCTACTGGGGATCTGCCCGCAACCAAGGTACATACCCTTAACCGCAATTGAACCTGGGACCTTTCAGTCCTCAGGCTGATGCTCTATCCACTGAGCCAAACCGGTTTTGGCACAAGACTCATTCTTGAGTTGTCAACATAATAGTTCTCAAATTCAAAATGTTCCAGCTCTTCAACTACAGCTCAGACCCCAGTACATGTTGTGTGACTTCTGGCTCTCCTTTCCCGAGAAGAGGGAAATGCTCCTCCATGAACCCAGGGATCTACAGCTTCCTATGGTCAACTTCTCTGTGCTGTCCAGTTCCTCGCCCTTCTCGGGGTCCCGGCTCCACAGGGCTCCACCAGAGTGACACCAGGCCCCTACTCCCTGCACCATCATCTGGGGCACAGTGCCCCCATCTGGGGTGTCTGGGGCAAGGAGGACAAGGAAGAGGATGGGAGGACTGAGAGGGAGCTGAGTCCCATGAGCAAGTGTCTGTCAGGAGGCATCACCCTGCCTGCTCCTGCAGCAGCAGCGGACCCCTTTCCTGTGGGACCAAATGCTGGGGGACCCTAAAGCACAAGGTGGACCCCTACTCTCTGCTGCTGGCCTCTGGATTCCAGAGGCTCTGCCTGGGAGCAGAACAGGTTGGGCATCTGATCCAGGAAGTGTTGGTTCACAACCTTTGGAGTTTTCCCAGGTTGAATTAAAACCTGTTTCCCTCACACAAGTTTATTTGACAAGCAAGGGCAGTTTGGAACAAGGCTTGTAGATTTCTGCTGAAAATATTTTATCTCAACTATTAGAGTTTTTGTTTTTTGTGTTTTACTTTTGCTTATTTTTTATTAGTTTTCATCTTAGGAACAACAACCAACTAAAATCCTAGTAAGCAAAGCTAATATACCAGTACTCTTCTTCTATACTTTTAGTAGAATATAGGATTTTTGTATTAATATTGTTAAAGATACAAATGAGAAGATTACAAAACTTGTACCTCTGGGAAATTTAGTAATTTTAAATGAAAAGTTATAGATTAGTTTAGGAACATTTCTCTTACCTTCATTCTTTCAAATTGAGACAGAACTCTAAGTGCCCGAAGGAATTTAATGGACATAAGTAGTTTTTGTTCCTGAGATTTGCCTATTAAGTTCAGACAAAATACCTAGATATGTGAAAAATAAATAATTAATAGGATTTACTGTTAACTTTAACAAAAACAATCTATAAAATAAACTCAATTATTACACAAAGATACATAGTCAAAGCCTACCAAGAAATATGCAAAAGCTTTACTATATATTTCAATCCATCTTAACACTGACTTATAGAAAGGTATAAGAATATCATTTTGTGTTAAAATCACTTAAATGATTTAAAGATATCTTCTGGTAATAATACATGTTACTAAAATAAATAATATACATTGTTTATTATTTATTATAATTTATTTTTATTACACTTTATTATAATTAAGGATTAATAGTTATATCCATTTTATAGTTTGTAATTAGATTAAAAATCAGTTTCATGATTATTTCAATATAATTATAGTATACAATTTATTTGCTAAAACAAAATTGAATATATTTACATATTCATCTGTATAAAAATATAGTTAAGACAATATACAGAATTAGATTTTAGAGGAAAGGCATCAAGAAAAATATAAGTATTGTTAAGTACAAAGAATAGAAATATGGTAAGGCTATTTTTCAAAGTAAACATATTTGTATAAAAACGATTAGAGATTAATAAATGTTAATAGAGATTGAGCAAGATGGAAGAGTTATGATTAACTTTTATTGTGCCTTCATATTTTCTATAATTACAAGGCAACATAAATGAAAAATGTGTAGCTTCAGATTGGAAGCTATTGCAGTGATCCAAATGAGGATTTTTGGTTACTGTGGTATTGGTAAAGGGAATGATATGTATCTCACAAATATAATTTAAAAGTTGAGCAAATAGAATTTAATTATTTTAGGATGCTGATAATTTCAAAATATTAAGCAATAAGCCTAGTTTGTTAACAGTGGGTACATAGGTGACAGAATAATCAAGAAATGAATTGCTGAATTTTAAGTTTTAGAATGACAAGAAAAGGATAAATATTAAACATTACAAATGAATAAATATGGAATGTTGGTGACTACAAATGTATATAGAGAAATAAAGGAAATACAAGTAAATGGAACAGTAAAAGAGTAAGAATAAAGAAGCAACAGCAAATCAAATAGCTCTAAAATGTTGTTTTGCATACGTACAATAACAACCATGAAGTCCAGCCTGTGCCAGCCATTAGTGAAATAGGCTTTAAAACCATATGCCATCCACTTTAGAAGCATTTCCAGAATAAAAATATAAGTGAAAATCATATCCGCATATTCCAATAAGATTTTAATAGTCTTTCTTTGATTGATATATATATCTTCAAAAGCCTATGGGGAAAAATTATGGATGTAAATTATACATATAATTTCTACAACATTTTTTGCATGAAGTTAATGGAATGCCATCTCCAAGAAGCAGATGGTGAGCAAAGTCATAGGTTGTAGTCTCAAGGGCTGGTTCACTTTTCTTGAATTTATTCACATAAACCGTAAGTATCATTTTCTGATTCAATGCCTGTATCAGACATCATTAATTGATCCTAGAACCACTTTTTATAGAGATTGAATATGACTTCATAATTGTTCTAAATAGTGACCAATTCAGTTAATCAACCTTAATATAAAAGGCAGTATTTTCAGTCACATCTGATATGGCTCTTATCTCTAATTCCATGTGGCCAATGTACAAATATATGCACTTGCTAATAACAGAGCCCCTGATCAGGGTGAGGGGAGGTTATTGGGGGTGGGGCCAGCTGGGAAGAGGGGCCACCCCTGGCTGGCCATAGTGAGTATCATAGCAATGGTTGTTCCAGTCATCCAGTCGCTTGGCTTTTATATATATAGATGTCTATTTATTTTTTGAATAGGCATATAATGCAAAACAATATTATAAGATATACAAAAGTCTACACCTTAAATAATAAAAGGCTAATATGCAAATCAAGCAAACGGTGGAACAACTGGTCACTGTGATGTGCACTGACCACCAGGGGACAGACCCTCAACACAGAAGTTGCCCCATGGTGGTCAGTGTGCTCCCATAGGAGGAGCACCGCTCATCCAGAAGCTGGGTTCACTGCAGGTGAAACAGATGCAGTGGGCAGTCAGATATCCCCTGAGAGCTTCCAGACTGTGAGAAGGCACAGGCTGGGCTGAAGAGTCTCACGCTCAAGTGCACAAATTTTGTGTACCAGGCCTCTAGTTTTAATTTAAAAAATTTAAAAACAGGCAGAGATAATCAATGACAGTTGAATTGTATATATTGGCTACACATATGGAGTGGATAAGTGACTGTGGAGAATCAGAATGTGGTTCTGAATTACTGGTAATGTTCTGTTTCTCAAGCCAAGTGACAATAACACAGGTACATTTACTTTGAAAATTCTTTATCCTGTACAATTATAATTTGTGTGGTTTTTCAGAATGTGTAATAAATGTCAATATAAAAGTCTACTTTAAAACATATGCAGTACAAAGTATGGTTCCCAACCATTACTTTATCTTCTCTATCCTTTGCATCTCACAGTTAACTATTTCACATGCATTCTTCTCTGATCTTCTTCAATCAAACAAAGCAAATAATATACGTTCTATTCCTCTTGTTTTCTTACCTAAAATGTAGCATGTACTATACTTTATTCTAGATTTTTTTCCCCATTTCTTACCATATCTTGCAATATCAGCATGCATACAGGTCCTGCACTTTTTAAATAGCTGCAAAGTATCCCACTGTATGATAATCCCATGAACACCTATTATGGATTATTTTTGCTTTTTTTTTTTCAATCCTTTGTTTCTATAAAAAATTAGCCTGTGAATAAGTAGAAGTACAGGACATACAGAGTCCAGATAGTGCATGTTTGAGAAATGTTAGGAAACTCTGAAGCAAGAACCAAGACAGACAATTTATATGGTAAAGCCACTGGAAATGCATTGGGTGAGATGAAGTCTCAGGGAATTACCAGGGTGGGGCCAGGTTGATGGAGACTCAGATATGGCCCCTGCCTGCTGGCTCTTCCAGGGTGAGGCTTTGAAAAGGAACAATAACCTCTTCCCGCACTTCTGGCTGGGAAAGAGCTGTCACTCCAGCTCTTGTCCTGATGCTGGACATTTCAGTTCCTTCCTGTATGTCCCTGATGACTTTGAAGGTGCTCCCACAGTGTAGGAGCTCAGAATGAATAAGTCCACGTATGGACTCTTTGAGACAGTGGTCGCCAACCTTTCTGACCTCAAGGACCACCAGGGATCTGCAGACCACCAGTTGGTGCCTGCTACATGAAGAGAAACCCCAGGGACTACAGCAGTCTTCTTTCTCATCAGCCAAAATCCCCACTGTTTTTATAGCCTGAAGTTATGGGAACTTCTCTTCCTGGTACTGGAACCCTGAGCTGGGGGGCCTGGTGTGGAGCTTGGAACCCTGGTTCCTCCACAAGCCACGATATCCCTCCCAATTTTTATCTCCACACTCGGGTGTGGAACCAGCCCATTCAGCATCTTCATCCCTCCTACCAATCTCAATATGTCTTCTTTATATCTTTAGCTGTAGGACTTCTGTTTAACTATAATACATTTCAGACAGTTCTGAGTGATGGTTGTTCTGTAGTTTAGTTGCAATTTTTATATGGTTGTGGGAGGATGCAAGTACTGAATTTACCTGTGTCACCATCTTGACAGGAAGCCTAAACTTTGTTTCTTATATGAAACTTTAATAAAATAAGAAGAATTAAGTATCTTTTAACATTCCTTTTTCCCACTGTCACTCATATATAGTATTTTGGAATTGTGTTAATTATTTAATATTAAATGATGCCTATACAGATTTTAAAGAAGTTATAATGTATGTCTTTCAAAACTAAAAATCACAGATTATGAACTATGGTGGTATAATAATAAGTATTGGGGGGAAACTGATTTATTATGGTGACTCTACAAATTAACAGACTTCTAATATACTTTTCCTATAAAAATCTCACATATCCTCACTTACCAGAGCACCTGTGCTGAGCAAAGTGACAAGGCCAATGAAACACTTAAAAAAACTGTTTTCTACAATCTTGCAGCAGGTTTTCCTTATGTTTCGCCAAATTTTTCCTCTCTTGGATTCTCTACTAATTTGACCTGGTGAAGATCTTCGTTCATTACCTGTCAAGAACAAAACTGTTTAAAAAAAATCTTGACAATTCATGAAAAAAATTAACATCTCAGTTTCTTCCATGTACTTTACAGAATCTAATATAGGTGGTTTGTGACTTACAAGCATTTGATTTTTACCCCTGCTGTACTGAACACTGCAATCACCAAGGAAAAAACACAAAAACTTAACTTGTGACTTTGGTAATTAAAATAAATTATGACAGGCAGAGATCACTCAGCATATTCCCTAAGCCTGCAGGACAGAGTCTGAGAGTAGAATTTATCCCTTACTAGAACTACCACTTTTACAAAAAAATAAAAATAAAAATTAATTACACACATACATCTTCTGAATATCACATTAATATAATGCCTGAAAATTCATCCTCTGAAGATTCCCAAGGCAAAACAAGTATTCCCATTTAAATTTGCAAATATTTATTGAATGTCAAGATGTATTAATATCAGTTAAATTTATTTCAATTCATAGATGCTATAGAAATGGGAGTTTCGTTTGAGATTACCTGAGGAGCTAACCTAGATTATGGAGTACTTTGTGAGTAGGGTACATGTGAATAAATTTTGAATTCTATTTTCCGGTCAAGAGAGCATACGGAAAGCTAAGGAGAAGAGAGTGATTAACCTGTTGAAAGAAAAGAAAGAAAAGAAAAGAAAAGAAAAGAAAAGAAAAGAAAAGAAAAGAAAAGAAAAGAAAAGAAAAGAAAAGAAAAGAAAGAAAAAAAGAAAGAAAGAAAGAAAGAAAGAAAGAAGAGAGGAAATGGAGGTGGGTAGAGTTTAACATCAACACTTATTATTTTAGAATTTTACCTAATATCAATGTATATGTCTTTGGTCAAATTAAGAAAAAAAAAGAAAATATTTCTTCCCTTGTTTTGGTTGAAAAAAGTCCTACAAATCAGCTACTAAGAGCAGATGCTTATTTTGAATATAAAAATTTGAGCTTTTAGCAGTTTCCATTTTGATGATGTCCAATCATCTCAAAGGACTAGAACCTGTAACCATTTGTTAATCTTCCTAGGAAACTACTTTTAATTATGTCATTAAGAGAAGTATGTTACATATCTAGTGAGTCAACCAACTGAAGCCTTACACATTTTTTAATATTGATGTGGAATATAAAAATATATCACTATTTGTTTTTCTATGAAAGTTAAGGATGTTTTCATATGAATATTTAAATGTTGACTCCATTCCACAAGGCATAAAATTACATATACACATAACCCTAATTCAATTTTTTTTAAACAATCTTATAAAGCAAGTTTTGTTATTACCTTCAATTTACATATAAGGAAATGAGTCAGAGAGAGGGTAAGTAAAAGTAGAGTACTGGGATTTGAACTCAGGCTCTCTGATTCCAGAGCCCACACTCTTTTTTTTTTAAATTATTTTTAATTTTTATTGATTTCAGAGAGAAAGGGAGAGATAGAAACATCAATGATGAGAGAGAATCATTGATTGGCTACCTCCTGCACGTCCCACATTGGGGACTGTGCCCACAACCTTTACATGTACCATTGACCAGACTCAAACCTTCAGTCTGCAAGCTGACACTCTATCCACTGAGCCCAACCAGCTAGGACAATAGCCTATACTCTTACCTACTGCATTAGATTCCCTAGAAAGTAGCCCCATTTCCTTTTTATTTCCCCCCCCCCCCAAATGTTGTCTTTTTTCTTGATATTTATTCTAGTTTTCTATCAGGAATCAAATGGGCATGTGCACACACACTGTGTGTATTCATTAGCCCAATTAATGTTTGCTACAATTAAAAATATATCCAATAGTATTATTTAGGTTAAGAGAAATTTAGTCTAATTACAGTGTAATATCAAAAGGAACTTTTCTTACTGTTTTTAAGACGCTTTGGCTTTTCATGTTCATGGATCATTTCTTCTTCTTCAGAGATAGCAATATCAACTGTACTGCATTCGGATGAGCTAGATGGCTTTACCTTCTGAAAAGGAAAGTCCCACCAAAAACGTAAATAAAGTTTCATTTACACACTATAGTTACAGTTCATCTCATTTTTAGAAATAAGAAAATTTTGCATGTGAATACAATTATCAGGTTTAAAAGACTTTAGGCCAAGTTCATGATTAATATTAAAATGCAAACAAATATCTCTGATGGTATTAAAATTATTTTTTAAAATTAATTTACAATAAAATAATTTTTAAAATTTAATTTACTTTCATTTTTTTCATAACCACTTCAAAAAAGACAAAACAAACAAAAAAGGATAAATACATTTTAAATTAAAATTGACATTTAGTTAATAACACTGTTCTCCCAAATGATGTATAGGCTATCTCCAATTTCCAAAAGAATTTGAGTTCCAAAGTTTTTTTAGAAGTTATTCACAAAGTTCCCAGGATGCTATTTCAATTAGATGAATAGCATCAGAATAAATCACCCCTTATGCTAAAGATGGGCAACAAGGGTATACTTAGTATTTACTGTAAAATCCAATCCAGACATTTTTATGTGTTTCATCATACAATGAGACTGATGAAGATTATTCTGAAGCAAAATGAAGACATGGCAAAAGGAACAGGGTCAATAATAAACCTGGGAAAGTGGTACCAGGATATGCAAAGAGGCTAGTTGCAGAGATAGACATTTTTCCCCACTCTATTCTTGACTGAAGTTTAAGACTGGCTAGGATAAGGTAGTCATGACTTTGTACATGTGAAAATAATGCAAGTGCAATGCTTATCCTCTACTTACAATGATTTTCCCACAATGCTTTCTTGCACCTTATTGAAAAGTGGACATACAACATATCATCTTTTAAAATGATCAAGATTCCAAAGTTAATATCATATCAAATCATTTTCTAATTTTAAAAATTAAGATACGTGTTTAAAACATTTGGAATAAAATCAATCTTATTTCTTTAAAAATAAGCAAAACTCCAGTAGAGTATGTAAAAAAGAAAATTATAAATATTTTGTCCTACTTGTTCCTCTTATGTACAAAAAATGTCAATCAAAATAATTAGGAAGCTTTGTTTACTTAAACCTTAATGTTAATTGTCAGTAAGACAGTATGGTGTTCACTTTAAAAAAATATGTCCAACTGAATATTCCTCTGAAATAAATAAATAATTTTTATAATTTTGTTTCTCTTACATTTTCTTTATTTCTGATTAACCAAAGGCTATAGCCAAGCACTGATTTAGAAGTAGACAATAAATAAATATTATATTAATTTTTTTAGAGTTCTTAAAACCATTGCACCTACACTTTTATGTGATTTTTTTCAAACTCCTTTTAGTATGCATTATTTTACATTTACAAATAAATCAATTAAGATTCAACATTATATATATAACTTATTTTAGTAGAAGATTATTTAATGGCATGAAAAAATAGCCATGATATATTGCTACATAGAGAAAAGTTATAAAACCCAATTTAAAGTTTGATGTTATTGTTATAAAATTTAGTTAAATATTTATAATTTAAAGGCTGAAAGTTTAAATACCAAAGAAGTGAGAGTATATATCTCTGAATTATCAAATCACATGTGATTTTTATATTTTATTCTTTGGCACTTGGTAGATCAACATCCTAGGTACTCATAGGCTATGTAATCTGGAAAGTATCTAATCAAATTAAATATGTAACAAAAAACATATAAATTTGTTAACAAATCTTTGAGTAGCTAACCAATCAATAGGATCAAATAAGTATATAGCATAAAATACAACTTCTGCAATCTCAACTTATTCAATTATATTTTATTTCTTCTTTCCTTTACATTTCCATATCACAGACTTTTTAATGAGATTTGGAAAGGAGTTTCCAAGAACATCTTTACATGGTGTGCTGAAATAAGTAGCAATTTTGCCCATAGATGGTTGATAGTCACAGTCTTAAGTAAAGATACAGAATTGTGCTGCAGAGGAATTTTCTCTGGTTTTCTCATAATGACATTATTTTTTTAAAAAGAAGAAGAACCGGAGACTGGCTGGTGTAGTTTGAGGGTGGAACATTTGACCCACGAGCCAGGAGGTCAAGGCCCATGTAAGTTCTTTGGACTTGATGTCCATTGGGGGCATACAGGAGACAGCTGATCAATGATTATCTCTCATCATTGATGTTTCTATCTCTCTCTTTCCCCCCTCCCTTCCTCTCTCTGAAATCAATAAAAACATACTTTAAAAATATTTTTTAAAAAGGAATCTGAGAGCCCAGCTGGCTTGGCTCAGTGCTTGAGCATTGAGCTATGACCAGGAGGTTACAGTTCAATAACCAGTCAGGGCACATGCCTGGGTTGTGGGCTTGATCGCCAGAGAGGGGTGTGCAGGAAGCATCAGATCAATGATTTTTATCTCATCATTGATGTTTCCATTTCTTTCCCTCCCTCTCCCTTCCTCTATGACATCAATAAAAATAAAAATAAAAAAAGAATCTGAGATTGAGTATGCTAAAGAGTGAAAGTTTCTCTAAAACAAAGATGCCTTTACTAAAAGCTAGAAAGCCTTTGAATAATTGAAATGCAACCTTCTATAAGGCCAGTTTCAGAAGTTATTGCCCAGAGTGGCTGCCAAGCCAGAAGAGGTTTGGAAGACAAGATGGTGCCAGAGAGTTTGGGGAGCTGTAAAGAGACATTCTTTGCCTCTCTCCCTGGTGTCTATGAGTACTCTGAGAGGAGTCCCTAGCAAGCTCTAATGCAAAAAGCCCACAGTGCCATTGTGACCTAGATGGATTGTAGCTTTTTATTACACTATATCTCCTCTACTAAGACATAATGCTGCTTTCAAATGAAGACAATAAAAGTGTAGGATGTATCCAGTAGTATGTATGCATGCATGTGAAAAGCAAGGGAACATCAATATCTACCCTTCTTTTAATGTGTCCCTTTTATTTTGTGTGTCCAGGAGTTTATAAAGCTACAAACCATTCCCAAATCAAACCATTGGTGTCTCTCTATTTATTAGTCCAATTTAATTACATAAACACATTGTAGAAAAGAACTGACAAGAATCTTAGAATTTTAGCAAGCAATAATGTATTTTTGCAGTGTTGTAGTCCCATCTCACAATTTAAAGATACCCAGAAGAGTTTAGTGATTTCTCCAGTTGTATTATACAAATTGATTTTGAAAACTTAGTTGTTTTTTTTTCAGTATGCTTATCATCACTCCACACTGCCTTTTTATTAATTTGTATAATTTTATAATTATATTATCCAACTTTTATGAAGTGCTTACTATATTATGGGCATTATTATATGCACTACTGTTCTTAATCTTTCTATATTTTATTATTTTTTCTTTTTTAAATATTATCTTATTGATTTCAGAGAGGAAGAGAGAGGGAAAGAGATAGAAACATCAATGAGAGAGAATCATTGATTGGCTGCCTCCTGCATGCCCACAGTAGGGATTGAGTCTGCAACATCTGCATGGACCCAGAACTGGGAAGAGAACCATGACCTTTTGGTTCATAGATCAATGCTCAACCAATGAACCAGTCTGGCTGGGAACTCTTTATTTCTATTAGAAATAGAAACAATTTCATCCTCATCTCTAAACTGGTATTTACAAAGTTTAAACAGCTTGATCAGGATCATAAAATCAGGAGTGAAGAGTGCTGTTGCTAGGATTGAATGGGTAATCTAACTCTGAACCTTCAGTGCAGATTTTACCTTCTTAGTAACAATGCCCTAAATTAATAATAAGCAATCCAGATATGGAAATATCTTACCTCTTTGCTGCTGCCGAAACCTGACTTGCTCTGAATCTCCTTATTATCCAGATTTTCTATATCAGATTCTCCGGAAGCAATTGGTACTGTTTCAGAAGCACTGGGACTGGGGATGAGTGACTGGCTCTCGTTCTCAGTCACTGTGGTTTTCTCTGTGCCACTGCTTTTCCCCTTGTCCTTGAGGGCATCTTCAGCGTTGCTCAATTCAGAAAGGGTATGATCAGAAATATTCTCCTTAACATTTACATTGTCCACTGTGTCCTTGGGAACATTTAGTCTTTTACATAACATTTTAGAAAGCACATAGCATATTCCTTTCTTAATTCTTGCCATTGCGCGCTGGAGATTTTTGGCTTCTTCATTCTCTGCATGTGCCGTAGCATAGCATGAGCTAAAGGAGCTCACCAAAGCCAGAAACAGGTAAAATAGCTAAATGAAGACGTAAATGAGGTTAAGCGTATCTCTTTTTTTTTCCTTCACTTTAAACAATAATATAATAACATTCTTTTAAAAGGGTGACCTGAGATCTGAAAACAGCATATTACCTATTGTACTATTCAGTTCTTACTCATCTACAATGGGTCAGGGTGCTATGCTAGAGATTTGTGGAGCTAGAGGTCAACTGAAGGTCACAACATTCTATGAAATATTTATTTCTCTTTTCTAGAGGAAACAGGAAAGTTTTGTAGATGTTGCTTATCAAAGGCCTCACAGATTGAGTTCAAGTCTGTCTGATTTAAAGCTCGTTTTCTTTTACCGAGTCAAGCTACCTCCGACAAGGTAAAAAAATGAATTGCTACTCAAAGTGGCTGACTTCAGTTCTACCCCAGATGTATAATGACATCTTCTTGGATTCTGCAAACCCATAAGGAATCTCATTGGGAGGCATCTACTCCTGGTTCTGTGGCCCACAGCTAATATTTCTTGACCCATACAAGCATAGGGATTGTGTAGGTTAATTGATTATTTTTAGTAATAATTTTGGCCAAATAAGAAAGAGACAAATGTTAGAAAAATTATTATTAATACTTGCAAGTTATTAAAACTCTATGATAATACATATTTTGATTTTACTATCACTAAGAAATATGATCTAACTATGTTCAGTTTCCAGAGAATCAGATTTTTTATCTTGTTTATAGTTATAAGGTATAGATGATATATTGGGATTCTAGAGTTGAAGATTAACATCAGTTATTCTCTTAGAGTTAAAGTAATAATTTGAGCATAATTGTCTATTATGAAAGTTTCTTCTTCTTTCTTCAGATATATGAGCTTAAGAGTTAGTTCATTTTATGCTTTACATATTAGTTTCGAGTGGCATGCACGTCGGGAACATGGCTGACAACGGTCACAGCAGGATGGTAGAGAACGTGAGCTAGGTACCAGTTGCTGTCATGGGTGGGGTGAGCCTCTAGTGGTTACCGAAAATTCTTTGCTCCCATGCGTCGTGGTCCCACCCAATGCTCGCACCCACTGCCAGCACCCAGTGCTGGTCCCTATCACTCAGCACCATCAGCACATGTGAGTGGTGGCTGCTGGGCCAATCGCCCCACAGGGCTTCTCCACCTCTCCCTGTTCATGAGGGGTGTTTGGGACTGGCATTGGCTGTTGCTGACATCCACTTATGACGCCAGTCCCTCTCGCACCCACTGTTGGTGCCAGCCCCTATTGTACAGTGCAGTCGATGGGTGTGAGCAAGGCGAGAGCCGTCAGCCCGTGGGAGCAGGGCTGCTGGCCAACAGGGGACAGGGGGCTGTGGTGGCAGGGTTGGGCAGGGGCACAGAGGATGGGCCAAGACCTGCCTCTGTGCCCACTGCAGCCTCATGGCCCACAGTTACTTTCAAGGTGCATGGATTCATGCACCAGGCCCCTAGTTATTAATATTTTTTTTGGGGGGGGCAGTAAGACTTAAAATACAGTAGATAGTTTTACACATTGGGCAGCACAGTTATAGACCATTTGATCCCATGAATCCACATCATGAAAATATTAGACTATATTACATTAGTCTTCTAAGGAAAATTGAAAAGCATGGGTTACTTACCAAAAAGTTTCCAATTAAAATGACCATCATGTAAAAAGGAACACAACTGAACTGGCCTGCTATGTCAAAGCAATCCCATAGAGTCTCTATCCACTCTCCACAGAGAACCCGGAACACATTCAGGAAGGAGTGGAAGAAGTCAGTCATGTGCCAGCGTGGGAGTTGACAGTCTTTGTCTAAGTTGTAGATATGTGCTTTGTAACTGAAACCAAGCAGCATGGTGCCGACCACAGCAGAGAAGAACAGGAATGTGAACAACAGCAGGATCAGGTCACTCAGGGCCACCAGTGACTTTATAAGAGTCAGCTTCAGGATCTCAAATGTTGGCCAGTATTTCCCCAGCTTGAAAATTCGCAACTAATAGAGCAATGTAAAACAGCAATAAGAAACAAAATACAAAAACACTTGGTTATTTATTATGATATACATTAAAATCTGTATCAGCATTATACATATTCAAATAGATAGTATTTTAATGTAATATTCAGTTTTGGACATTTTAATATTGACCACTAACAGTTCACTTTATGAACAGTTCTTAATACAAACCATATATATTCTATTTTTTACACACAATTCATACATATTGATCTGTCAATGCCCATTCAATATTATATTATACGAGAGGCCCATTGCAAAAAAGTTTCCTGTAAGAATAGGACTTCCTGTGGCCTGAGCGAAGCAGAGAATGGAGCGAAACCCGCTAAGGCAGGCTTCCCTCCCACTGCCGCCCCTCTGCACTTTCCCTCCCACTGCCACTGTCCTCCCCCCATTTTCTGCTTTCCCTCTCTCTTCATTGTACACCGTCTTCAGTCTTCGCTCCAAACTTACATATGCAAATTAACCACCATCTTTGTTGGGCTGATTTGCATGCTCTCTCTGATTGGCTGGTGGGCGTAGTGGAGTGATGGTTAATTTGGATATTTCTCTTTTATTAGTGTAGATTTACTCTAGCTACATGTTTTAATATCTGGTAGGGCAATTTGTCCCTTCTGCTTTGCTTTTCATACTATATCGGATATTTTCCCACATTCTGACATGTAAATGATATTGGGAGAAAAAAAAAACCTGTCGTTTTCCACTGAATTCCATTAAAGGTTCTATTGTGTGTTTTCCTTTTAAAGAAACACATTAAAGATCAAACACAACATTCCAAGTTTAGTTTGAATATTTCCCTTGTTTTTACTAATTTTTTTAAAAAAATTGGTACAGCATAGATTACCTTAACATTTTAGCCACCATATCACAATGAACTTAGTCATCTAAAATCCACACACCATTTTTATGTGTGCTATCTACTTTCTTTAGCCTTTCCTGGTATATATTTGGCTTTCTACATGCAAAAGTAGGACTTTTATCCAAGTAAAACTTAGTCATCTTTTATTCATTCTGTTACCAGCCTTTCAAATATTTTAATCCAATCTTTGATCACATTTTCTACATTTCCCAGCCTCGTTTCTTACATAAACTTCACAACTACATCTTGATATTTTTCTCTCAGTCATTAGAAAAGTTTATGGATGAGGAATAAAACAGGTTGCTCTTGATTCCTGCTTTATTCCTTCAATTTGTTGCCAGAATGTGACAATATATTAGCTATCAAATGCTTAATATTTCCATAAATACCATTCTAATAACATTATTACCTTATCTAGTTTTCTGATTCTTACCATCAACCTGCTTTGCATACATACTCATACTGACAATAATTTTTTATAAGAACATTCTGCTGGCCAGATTGCTGTTGTATAAAGTTTTCTGCCCTGCATTTAGAAATACTTGGTACCAGTTTCTTAGTTACACATTGACATTCAGCTTCTGGGGCTATTCATGACTCTGCTCCTTAAAGCTGGCCCAGGACCCTGTCTCTGCTTTCTAGAACTACATCTCACATTTGCTATATACTAGTATGCGGCTTATTTCCTTGAATGCTTTGGTTAAATAATAGCATTAGAGGCTGCATACTTTTTCCCCAGGCAGTATTAACTCAGGTAATACTCCAAGTGTCCCAATGGTATTTCTATTACTGTTCTTTCATTTTATGTTTGAGAAACCTGAGATAATTTTTCATAAAATAAAATTTAGTTCTTGGATTCTACTTACCACACTGAATAGTCGAAAAGCAATCAGTCCATGAACATTTGCTAGGAAAAGGTCTGCTAAACCAAGGAACACAATTACACTATCATAAATATTCCAGCCTACTTGGAAATACCCATATGGATGCATGGCAATTATTTTTAAAATCATTTCTGTTGTGAAAATTCCAATAAAAACCTAAATAAAAACAAAACACATGGATGTGAATATGATTGTAATGTCTCTTTGGGACCCTGATGCATAAAACTGTATTTTTTTAAAGCCACAATTCTCATACTTCTGTCTATTATAATAGACTTATAAGTCTTATTTAATAATCTAATATTAAGCACTGTATATCAAATAATCAAGTACTTTTTAAAGCCAGTCTGGAAGAAAATAAAAGAATATTTGTGGGTAAAAATCTTTTCATTTTAGATAGTTTCTTTAGGTATATGGAACATTTGTTAGGATATTTAATTTTTCAACTTGTAAAAGAATAAAAGAAGTACATACATGATCCAGAAATAAACAGAATGAAGTTATGGAAACTGTCTTTTGAAAACTATACTTGAAGAAATAACTAAATTACGGTTTTGGTATCAAGTAAATGTATAATTCAAAATTGGTAGCAGCTTGGCTGTTTGTATGAATGCTAAGCAACTAACCAATAACAACTTATAATAATAAAAGGGGGGGATTTAACACTATATAGTGTGTTTGTGACTTGTTTTTAAATTCATACAAATCTGTTTTGCCTTTTGCATTGTATGGGATGAAAAAGATAGGTGGATCCCAACAGTACCTTGTAAAGGATAAGCTTCAATCAAAGGCAAAGACAGGTGGTGAGAGCAGACAGGGTCAGGTGCAGTTGTAGTCAGGATTTAGAATCAGGTGTCAGTGAAGAATGTGTGCCTGTTATTTGACTTCTACCCTATTCTGATCTATGGGGATATGGACCTAAGAAAAGGTATACTTGGGAAAGGAGAGGAAAGGAAAAATTTCCACTTAACATGACTGCTAAGCAGCTGTCGAGAAATCAACAATTTAAATGGCAGATTTTAAACTCTAGGAATAAACCTCTTCAGTGTTAAGAACATTTACAAAGCAAGGCTGGGGACAGTGAAGTGGGGAAGCATGAACACAATACTTTATGTTGTGCTTATATAATGCATTTGCAACATATTAAAGTTATAAAAATAACGGAATAATGACAACTAAAAAAGATTGAAATTGCAAATGAAAGTAACATAGAATAAGAGCCTTACCAGGTTTCCAAAGACGAGAACATTTAATGTTGTTTCACTCAATGGATAACATTCCATAGCCAAAAAACATATGTTTAGAATTATGCAGATAGTGAGAAAAAGATCAGTAAATGGATTCATCATAATCACATGGACAAACTCTTTCAACTTTACCCAACAGGGAGAACAATTCCAAATCAAGAAAATTTTAGCAAATTTATACCAACACAAGGGACATCTCTTCTGAGATTTTTTATGCTCTGCAATGAAAGAATAGTAAAGTGAAACTTTAGAAAAATGCCTAAGCATAACTAATAGGAACTGTTGACTTCTGCATGTACTAGCAAAGAGGTTTGAAACTAGACTTCTGATTTGGAAGTAGCTAAAAAAAGATGTTTTATACTAATAGCAGAACAAAGTAAATTTCCTCTATATTTTTCATGGAAGCTGGATTAGACAAATGAAAATGAGATCAACTGTCTAGTGGAAGAAAAACATAAGAGTATCTGTCAAAAAAACTAATATGGAATGCAGCTGAGAGCACTATGTTTATAATTCCTAGATTTATATACTTTACAAAATAATGCACTTTAATATTGGCATAATAATGATTTACTGGTTGTATGTTTAAAAAGCAGAGTCAATATAGAGAGGACCTTAATATATTAATTAATATATATACATATATACATATATACATATATACAAATATACAAATATGCACACATTCAAGCTTTATTTTTAGTTACAAGTTGCTACTTCTATGTCGCTCTCAGTGTTAAAAATAATTATTTAGCCCTCTAGTAACCCTTTCCAATGTTTAAAACATCATGTTTATGGAATTTTTCTAAATTGTTCATCCTAATATTCTCATGTTATTCCTTAAATTTTAGTTATATAAAATTCTGAAATCATTATAAAATTCCTTTAAAAGTGAATCTTATGAATAGTACCTTTCATAGTGTCTAAATATTTTTTACTTTACCTTCTTCATGTCTGATAGCATCATCCAACATATCCAAAGACGTGATCATAGAAGTTGGTGATCTTTTCTTCATTTCTATTTGTGTGGTCTTGGTCTAAAAAAAAAATTTGATGAATATAATATTGGCTTCTTCCCAAGATTATAATTATAAGAAGGATTACAACCTCTTCAAATATGCTGATTTTTACTTCCAGAAGCTTTTTCTTTTTCTTTTGGAAAATACGTATAACTTGCAACTTGACAAAATAATTGTATCCTATGAGGTCAACTATAAAAGGAGTAAATCAGAGAATGATAGTGGTATTGCCTATATTTGGCAAATAATCCAATGAATAGTTTAGGCTTATTGTGAAATATCCAGTTGTTAAGCATGCTATTGAATAGCAACAGTGTTCCTCTAACCCAGAGATGGGGAATGTCTGGCCCCTGGGCCATATCAGGCCCATGAAATTATTTGATCTGGCCCTGCCAAGGCATTAGGAGTGAGTTAATTAAGTGTTTGACAAAATACAGCAGGCTAATTTTTAAGTTGATAATTTTGTATGACCCGCAAATGATGTTATAAATATCCAAATGACCCTTGGCAGAAAAAAGGTTCCCTGCCCCTGCTCTACATCTTAAATTTCTTTCCTTGAGACTATGTTAACAATATAATTTTGCAAATTCTCTTGACAAAATAAAAATGACTTGATTTTGTAACAATGAAATAAGTCTGGAAAAATATCAAGTAATAGATAAATTTTTTAAAATTGTGTTGTTAGAACATATATAATAATTCCACAAAGGAATAACTTCTTTCTGTCTTTCATGTCTCTTGAAAAAACAGTTTTAAGATACCCTCTGCTTTGCTGATGTGGCTACATAGGGTTAAAAAGAATCCTTGCATTGAAAAGGCACTCACAACTTCTAATGTTGATGTGGCGATTATAACTTCTACACATTCAGTATTATAAATAGAGCTCAAGATGTTTCTAGTGACCATGTATAAACTTTGTAATTGGATTTAAACTGTAAGAAATTCATAATGGGTAATGATATTACATCATAGATTTCCCAAGAGTTTTTACATTTGGTACACACAGAGAATAATAATATTTATCTATTTGTTAACTTTGGATAAATAGGTGAAGCTACTCTTGGATAGAAGTAACTATCCATGTTTAAAAAGCAGAGTCAATATAGATAGGACCTTCATATATTAATTACATATATATGTAATACCCATATATGTGTAATTATATACACACAGCTTGGAATACTCCCACCTTAACACTGAGGGAATCAGTAGTGGAGACTCACCAATAACCCATACACAATACATTCAGGTTGGCAAGTTCTGCTATGATCTATCTGAAGAGGCATAATAGGTGTGAAAGGAATCACATTCATCTCACTCAGTACCAGTAAAATCCCCTTTAATTTCACAAATAGTGGTGAAAACCTATTGTATTTCCTACTGAGTTCCACTGGCAGATTCCTGCAAGTCTACAAATCTTGGTTTCATTCCTGCCCCCTTTTTTTAACTCAAAAAATAAGCTAAAAACTGAGGATGCCAAGTTAATGTATTTACTTAAACTATGATTATTTAAGAAATTATATTATCTGACATAAAATTACATAAAATATGTTATAAATTATACAATTCCAAATTTCCATGAAATAAAAAAAAAAATACATAAGCATACCTTTTTCCTGTTATTAAGATCTGACAAGGATTTCCCAAGTGTATCTTCATGAAGATGACACTTTGGTGATATAGGGAATATCTTTCACTATCCTCTTAATATTGAGAAATTATTTCCCATAAAGTTATTTCTCACAGTGACAATAATTCATGGAATCACACCAAAGAGCAAGTCAGTAAAGACAGCCTTCTGCGTGCGGAATGGAGGGATGGAGTGGGGAGAATAATAATGTTATTGTTGATATAGTCAATGCCAAATTTCTACTAATGTGGGTTAAATATGGATGTATTTAGAATACAAAATGAACAAATTAAGCTAAAAATATTAAATGAACACCCACATGTAAGCCAACTCTTGAGGATACAGATATTTATAATGCAAATTGAGAGGATCATAACAGTAACTCCTTTGTGGAAGTTTAGGAGTTTAATAAGGGCATATGCCTGAATTTCAGACAATTCAATGTCAAAATTAGACTGGTAAAAGGGACTATGTTTCTCATAACTGGTTTAAATTTTCTCTGGAGGGAGGAGTGAATAAGGAAGAAAGAACACAGTCATATCTCTGGCATTAAGCAACAAAAACCTGCAGTGTTCATCTTGAACTCAGACTTTCTCTCTTTACTACAGCCACACTGACCCTGTTTTCTCTCCCTATATAGCATGATCATTCCTCATATCTTAACTCAAGTAACAGTTCCTCATAAAAACCTTTTCTGACTCAGAGAAATGCTTTATTAGTCTCTCAAAGCAACATATTTCTCTCTTTATAGCTACAGGTGATTTTTTCTTAGAGAGAATAATAAAGTCAACCATCAGAAACCCAATATTCAGCTCTAACAATTAACACTATACCCTTCATTTATAATATATTATTCCATCCAACTTCCTTTCTGAAAGATTTAAAATCAAATTTTAAACATTTTTCTTATTTTTCAATTATAGTTGACATTCAATATTATATTCTATTAGTTTCAGGTATACAGCTTAGTGGTTAGACATTTACATAATTTACAAAGTGATCACTTTTTAAATCTAGTACCCACCTGGCACCATAGTTATTACAATATTATTAATTATACTTCATATGCTATACTTTACTATCCTATGACTATTCTGTAGCTACCAATTTGTTCTTAATCCTTTCACCTTTTTTTACCCAGCCCTCCAACATCTTTCCCATCTGGCTACATCTGTTTCTGTTTTGTTTGTTCCTTAGATTTCACATATAAGATAAATCACGTGACAAAGCATTTGTCTTTCCCTGTCTGACAGAATAAGCTTTTTAAGAAACATAATCCAACACCATTATCATCAGCAAAATTAGTAATTCCTTAATATTATCCAATACCCAGATCATACTCAATTTTCTTTCATTGATCAGAAACATTTTATTTTAGTTGACTTGTTCCAATAAAAATACAATAAGGATCTACATATTGCACTTGTTGATGTTCATTGACTATATTGAGATTTTAGTTTATTTTTTCTTATCTGATTTATTTGTTGATGATACTTTTTCACTTATTCCGTAGAATTCTGCACATTCTTTGTTTTACAGATTATGTCCATTTAGTATAATTTAATCTGTTCTTCTCTCTCCTACTGTCCCTGGAAAAAGATAGATCTAATTCTAAAGGCTTATTAGACTTAGCTCAAATTTTGGAAAATAATTTATTGTATGTGGTGTTTTATGTTTCCTAATTCATAACATCAGGAAAGAAAGACGGAATGATTGGTGGTCCTAGAGTTACAATTTTGTGTCATGATAAATTTATAGTCTATCTCCCCACTAGTTCATTAGCTTCATGAAGATAAGTACTATATTTGTATCTATTCAAGTTTATTTTTAATCTTCAGTGTTGTGTACAATGCCTAGCATGTAGCAGATTGACAATAATGTATTATTTAACTGGATAGATGAGTTATAGAAATGTCAGTTTAGATGGGCAAATAATTTGAAAATATTTATAATCCTGCAGTTGTATATGTCTGATTCTTTTTCTGAGGTTTTACCAGTAACTGACAACTTACAGAAAAGCTTTACTTGCAAATTGTGCAATTGATGGAATAATACTGTTTCATCATTGAAATAAGTAAAGTGGTGAACACTAGGCTCTCTTCCTATGTATTTAGAAGTCAAATATTAATAATTATAGATTTATTGCAACTAGAACTCCTCAATGCGGGCTACATTTGAGGATTCATGGAGACACTCATGTGTCTGGTACATAGCTGATGATCAATAAGCATTACTTGTTATTATTGCTATTATTATTTTAAACTTCCCTAACATGGGATATAGTCAGTGACTTATTATAGAATTTTATGTTGATGGCGTATTCTCCATATGAACTGCTGTGCCTTTTTGTGTTGTTTTCTTGTGTTCCCTATAATTAGTCATTAACATTTTTCAGTTGCTTAATATATTCTGTGAAGTGCCAAGCATTTGGCATGAATTTATTGCATTTGAATCAATACAACCGATGTATACTATAGATTTTTACATATGACACATCTTACAGATAAAGAAGCTGAAGTTTAGAAAAATTAACAGAATTGGCAATACATCCATTAAATGACTAAAATAGACTGAAAAACTGAGCTGTTATCCAATATGATCTTTTGCTTTCCTGTAATGTGAGAATATGAAGCTTCTAAACATTCTTCCGATAATACCAACATTGGAAGCTGACTGGTCGTCATTCAGATGGGTCACCTAAAGTGTCCTCAGTACGTTCCATGTTAAGTTCTCCCTCCAGTGTTTTCTTATGAATAAATCAAAAAAAGAAAATAAATCTTGTGAAAATGTTTTTCACTCTCACTTCTTGGAAAACCTTTGCCTGACCAAATGTTCTGGTACTCTTCCAAGAAAAGAAATCCTTTACAATTGGAAATTTTAATTAAAATAAGAAAGGCTTTGTGTAATCCAAAGCAGCCAAATGAATGAGGATATTGGAAAATAAGGAAATAATCCAAGTTCTTTAGCAGAATTAAAAGGGCATCTCATCCTGGGATAAGAGCAGTATTGTGCTCTTGGATACATTTGTGTGTTGCCATTGACATTTGAAAAGTCACTTCAAAAGAAATTACACATTCAACATATCATTCAGACCATAATCATTCAATCTGAAGGATCCAAGACTCATTTCTAGAAACAGAAAGCTTTTGTAATTTGTTGTTCTGGGACTTCCTCATGGGTGATATAATGGCTATACTCAATAGTCTCTTTTATACATGTTTTCTTCATACAGTGTATAACTGCTTCTTGTTTCAATGGTATGTATGTTATGGACCACGCAGACATAAGTATCATATATAATAAAGAACTAATATACTAATTAGACTGAACAGCATAAGGACCATCCAGGCAACCTTCCAGATGAAGCTGAGGCTGCGAGGGCTGAGGCCCTTGCATGAAATTTGTGTATTGGGCCTCTAGCCTATCAATAAGTTGTCATTTGGTATGATCCTGCATCATGTCACCCAGGCCCCATTATTTGGAATAATGACTTTCCTAGAGCTTCTTTATTGATAACTAGAGGCCTGGTGTACAAAATTCGTGATGAGTAGGGTCCCTAGGCTTAGGAGGCAATCAGGGCTGATAGGGGCCTTCTAGGCCGGTCAGGGCCTTCCTTCCCCCAGCTGCTAGCTGCCAGCTGGGGTCTTTCTTCCCCAGGTGCCAACTGCTGACCAGGGACTTCTTTGTTCTGCTCCACCCCCTGCTGGTCAGCACACTTTATAACAAGCAACTGATAACCAATCACAGGAACGTTGCTAAGGCGGGATTATTTGAAAGCACTAATTAAGATCTAGCGAAGCATGTATCTACCCTACACAAAGAAGAACACCCTCTTCTCTTGCTAGCTTCTGTGGCAGAGGATAGGTTCCTCTGTACCCTTGTGGCTTATGACTGTGTTGAACTCCACACAAGGACTAATGGACTTTAATTAGCTTGGATGCTGAACTACAACAGGGAATGGAAGCTCTGGGCACTGGCCTACTTTTTGAGCCCCAGATGCACCTTTTCCAGGACTGGCTTGGGGTATGTGGAACTTTGGAACCTGAGACAAAGAAGCTTCATGAGTAACCTGTTTTGGGCCCCCTTCCTGCTGCCACCTGTGGCAAGAAGTCCATCTACACTCAATAAATGTTGCCTCTGTTAACCATTTTTACCGTGAATCCATTCTTCGGTTTTGCGAGACAACGGAATTGAACCAGAATAGAAAAGTTGGCATCAATATGACAGGGTCCCTGGTATAGGGCCTTTCTATCATTTGTAAGCTCTCTCAGTCTATCCTTTTTCCATCTAATAGAGAATGTAGTTTGAGGGATTTTCCCTCCGGAGTGCACAATCTTTATTAGCAGGTGTAAAAAGTACAAACTATTGTAGTAACAATTGCAGAGGAATTCAAAGGAGGCAGGACATGGCTCCTTTCCCCCATCTGAGGGCCTGTAACCAGACCAGTGGGGCAGAAGCCCTTGGTTGTGGCCACTTTGGACCCAGAAGTCTTCAAACAGGATCCCAGGAGTAAAGGAGCAAGGCCGCTGAAGAAGCCTGGGCTGGGAACCATCATGGGCTGCTTGGCCTCTGCTCCCAGCACAGCTCAACAACTCCAGGTAGGAGACTGGTTAAAACTATCCCTCTCCAGCCGAAATTGGTTTGGCTCAGTGGATAGAGCATCAGCCTGCAGACTGAAAGGTCCCAGGTTCATTCTGGTCAAGGGCATGTACCTTGGTTGCGGGCACATCCCCAGTAGGGGTTGGGCAGGAGGCAGCTGATCAATGTTTTCTAACTCTCTCTCTCTCCCCCTTCCTCTCTGTAAAAAAATCAATTAAAAATATATTAAAAACAAAAACAAAAAAACTACCCCTCTCCTAACCAAGGAAGAGGTTGCTAGCCCCTGTGGGATTTGAGCAAGCTACTTCCGGTTGTTGTCCTGGGTCCTGTTCTCCCATGTAGCCAACTTCACAGCACTATTTAGATTTTAAAAGATAAATTCCTACAACTTTTTTAAGGCCACTTCTGTGATTTGTTTTGATTCATAAACCAAATATTTTGCTAGGAAGCTAAAAATTTGAAAATGTATTTAAACATTCTAAAATCATCAACAATTAGAGTACATCCTTATTAAGTCTTACTAATCATGGATTTAACTATTTCATGAATAAAATCATTCATATATCATGATGCATAGTGCATTTCCTCTTGAAGGAGCTAGAAAGCCAATAAAGTAATTTTTTTCTTCTTTTACAAATTCAGTCTCATATGTTTATCCACACTTTTAGTACCTTGTGTTTTCTAATTATGGAAGACTTTATCACTTTGAGTTGATCACCAAAATTTTCCAAATTATAATGTGCTATTTGAAGCATGTCTGAATTAATAAACTATAACTGCATTGTGGGAGGTCAAGTTTAAATATATATGTATATAGTTTATCAGCAGCAGTAATACATGTTTTGGAACACAAATGTATATATTAATGAAATATTTATAGGTATTGGCTTTTCTTACCATAGTGCACTCAGGAAAGAATATTATGTAGCAAAAAAAAAAAAATGCTCTTATCAAAATCACTTTCAGTCTTCTTATGCACCACACACATATTGAGAATCTAGCAATACACTCTAAGGTCATAAGAAGATAACTCAAATTCTGTGATTCTAAGAAGCATTTTAAAAATTATACCTCAGCTGCTTCATTTTCTTCTTGAAGTAAAGTGTGTTGAAATTCTGTTTCACTCTTCTTAGTTTTTTCAGCAGCTGTCCGTTTTTCTTCTTCATAGGACATTGCAAGTATGCCCAAGAACAAACTTGCCATGTAAAAGGCAAACCAAAAACTTATTATAATAAAAAATATCATGTAGACCTTTCCAGAAGCATAAAGAATCTAAGGAGAGGTGGAAAACAGGGCAAAAAAGGAAAATGTTATTTGTCTTCCTATAATCTTCTTTTAAAAAAATAAAAATGAAGTTTTTATGAAAATAATTTAGTCATAAGTGAAATGTAATCACAAGACAGTTCAAGTACTGGCTCTATGTGGGAAAACAAGCAAAGTGAACTTCAACTTTAGACTTATCTAAGGTATAAAATATATAGTACAAAACCAAAGAAAGATTTGAGTAATTTAATTAATTTAGGGTAAGCATTTGACATTTATGTCATCATAAATAAAGAAAACATAGTGGAAGAAAAAAAATTTCATCTCCCAATAAAGAAAGCTGGATGGATTGCCGAAACCGGTTTGGCTCAGCGGTAGAGTGTCGGTCTGCAGACTGAAAGGTCCCAGGTTCGATTCTGGTCAGGGGCATGTACGTTGGTTGCGGGCACATCCCCAGTGGAGGGGGTGCAGGAGGCAGCTGGTCGATGTTTCTCTCTCATCGACATTTCTAGCTCTCTATCTCTCTCCCTTCCTCTCTGTAAAAATTCAATAAAATGTATTAAAAAAAAAAAAAAGAAAGCTGGATGATCTAAATATGGAAGATTATTTTCTTTGCAATGGCATCTTTAAATATATGAAATTTAATAAAGTTAGAGAATTAATGTTTAGAGATTATTTTCTTCTAATAATTACTTTATGGAAATATTACAACCAATTCCAAAATAAGATATTCAAAGGGATGGGGAACAGAAATATTTCTGTATCTGTCAGAATATCTATTTGGTAAAGAACTTTAGTATTAATCACAAGGGAAAGAAATATAATTCACTTATATATATTCATTTATAGATAGAAAAATACTAAATTTTAGATTTCCAAACTAAGCATTAACTAGTTTTTATTTCATAATAACTATCTAAGATCATAAAATTTTAAAAATGTAGAAAATTGTAAGTAGACATTACAAATCCAAAATATAGTCCACTGATCTATCCTCCTCATTAAAAATATATGTACAAAGTCAAGAAAAAATGGGAATAGTTTAATTTTTAAATATCTATTTGATTCAATAAATAAGCATTATTTATAGAAAATATTGTGTTGATATGAAGAGTTAAGAATGTATTGATTAGTAGCAAGTTCTAACATTCTTTCAGAAATAATTTTCATTAATCTATAATATATAGTCTTTAAAAGTATTTTTAATAAATCCTAGTATCCCAATGAGTCAATTTTTTAATAAACCCTAGTATCCCAATGAGTCAACTGTTTAAGATTTGGTTAAATATTTTTTTCCCATTGAACTAGCTGTCATTTACTGTACTATATTCAGGAGTCAGAAACCTCTCTGAATAAAAAAACTTGAATCTTTGTTTTAATTATCATTATATCTTCTTGAGAAACCATGGCACACAAATCATCAGTGACAAAGACAGACTTCCAGAATTTGGATTTCAAGTCTGATAACAGCAAGCCTTCTGTTACAACTGAGCCATGATTGAACATTAAAGAGTAATGAGAATAAAAGAACTGAAAAGAAATAGCCCATTGTAGGTATTCAATAAATAATTATGTAATATTTGGTAATCTCATAGGTTCAAATTTGTGGCTGAAGAATTGGTACCCAGGCATCTTCTTAACTTAGTTCACATCACAGAGCAGGACAGTGATCCCTGTATATACCTGTGTTGTAACTTTGGAGAGGTTACGCAGCCACAGTGATCTTAATGTCTTCGTATAGAAGTCAGATGTACATATACGCACCATGTAGGATTGTTGTAAAGGTTAAATGAGATATCACACATAAGAGTACAAACTTCAATACAGTGTTGGGGTATAATTTGACCCTTAATAATCCTTGTTCTCTTTCCTTCTGTCTTCAAATTCTTCACCTCCAAATGTAATAAACTATGTCACATTTGAACATTGTCATGAAAGGGAGGGGCGTGGTACCCTTCTTATGTGCATGGCAGAATCTCTCAGTTCTCACCTGATGATAGAGTGCTTCAGGGTAATCCTGCGTCGCCAGCCGGAGCAGGGCTAACAAGGCCCAGCCAAAGTTGTCAAAATTTGTGTAGCCATTGTCAGGATTCATGCCAGCTTTTATACACGCATATCCTTCAGGACACTGACTAAAGAATACAAAGAAAAGAACAACTGCTTACTTTTAGGTAACTTCCAGATTATAGCCAAATCATAACTATAGAACATTTGCCCATAAGTTAGAAAGGGCTCTTGTGTCCATAATGAGCAATCTTCTCCCAAACAATTTCCAGTGGAAAGCTGCAAATGAGTTAGATTTTTAAGTTGGTGTAAGTGACGAGTGTTAACTAAGCTAAAAAACAAAACAAAAAAGGAGTGGGGGGGCTGGCAAGTACTTTTTTGCCAAGCCTTTGTTAAAGTTTTCTTTAGTACCCAATATCAGCGTGAAGTTATAAACGATGGAATATAACATAATAAAAATAAAACTGCAAGGGTTAAGGGTTTAATTTTTCATTGGTCTCACCTCAAATCCTTAGATCCTATTATTTAAGGGTGAGAAAATATTTATTACATCACTAATGACAAGCAGTACTTGCACTACTGTGGAAAGAACTATTAAGATTTCATTTCCTTTTATGGGGTCTTCATACTTTTACCTACTGGAGGTATGCGTGCTGAGGTCAGTTATTACAGTGGTGGCCTACTTAAATGATGCTTCCCTCTATCCTATTGATAGTTCCCTCATACATTATTTTGGCTTTGGCTATGTGTCTTATTTTGAACATCGGTTAATGGTTAATAAATGTGATACCAACAGAGGTATAAAAAGTAATTATGCATTGAGGCTTGCTGATTGCTGTTGATCCACACAATCTGAACAAATGAATATTTGTTCTTAAGGCACTAACTTTTGGGATCATTTATTCTACAGCAAAGTATTATGGCTACAGGTGAAATATTGCATGACTTTCTGGCCTTGAGATATATTATTGTGATTCTGGATATTCATAGCCAGGCACCTTCATTATGTGTTAGGAATGTCCACCAAGAAGAGTTAGCTGGTGTTGTATACGACAGACACAATGGGATGAGTTCACAATTTGGACTTGAGAATAGAGTGTAAACCCAGTAGCTGGGCAAAAAGAATCAAGCAAGTGACAAAATATCTAAATATGACAAAACTGCCTAATTTAGGCTTCTCTCTCCATCGTGTGCCATTTGTCAACCTGGGCCCCTGAGCCTAAGAAAAAGTAAGCCTACAGATGGGTATCAAGTCATCCAGCTGCAGAAAGCAACATAAGGAACTCCGAAAGGCATTGCACTGTCAAGAAGCACTTTATTTCTACATTCTTATCCCTTCATCTGAAATTATAGGACAAGGCATGAGAGTAGTATTCTCACTGAAGAATTACTTATAAATATTGTTTTCAAGAGCAATAAGCTTTTCCTTAAATAAAATTATAGTCATAAAAGATAGAGAAGCCATAAATAAGTGAAATAACAGCATATCTTTAATATTTCTTTCTTCAAAGGCTTGGGGCCAAAGAAAAGATTTTTATTGTCTTTTTTTGGTATTTTCCACTGGCTGTGAAGCACGCTGAAAACAGAAAATAAATCAGATCTTGTTAAAGTTCCAGCGCTGCTGTTTACAAATGAGCATTATATCTTTCTTGACCTTAAAACAAATCATTTAGCTAGCTTGCTTATTGTTTTCTTAAAAAAAAAATAGAATTGGTTTAATGGTATTCTATATTATTCATTCTCAGCATGGTTTCAGTGAAAAAAGAAATAGATGATCTAATCAAATAGAAACCATAAGTAATGATAATAATTATCCAATAAATATAATCGATTTGTAGTACTGACTTGTCAGAAGAAAACATTAATCTCACTTACCTGGCATCTGATCTGTTGCCACAAAGGAGAGCAAATCTTTCTCCTTCCAAATAATAATAGTTTTCTGTTTCTGAAAATAAGAAATTATATTCTATATTTAATTTTCTAATGTTTTTTTTAAAATATATTTTATTGATTTTTTTTACAGAGAGGAAGGGAGAGAGATGGAGAGCTAGAAACGTCAATGAGAGAGAAACATTGACCAGCTGCCTCTTGCACACCCCCCACTGGGGATGTGCCCGCAACCAACGTACATGCCCCTGACCGGAATCGAACTTGGGACCTTTCAGTTCACAGACCGACGCTCTACCACTGAGCCAAACCGGTTAGGCTAATTTTCTAATGTTGAGTGAACAGCATATCTGAAAGTCATTTAAACCTCTATAGTGAGGAGGAATTAGCATATAGCCTACCTTTTTTTTATTATTATTATCTAAAGTTCTACATATGTCTCCTCCTCCCTCCCAACTGACTCTCACTGCCTCTTCAGCCATTCCCACCCCAGGCAAGCCCCCACCGCCCCAGTGTCTATGTCCATTGGTTATGTTAATATGCATACATATAAGTCCTTTGGTTGCTCTCTAACCCCCACCCCCACCTCCTCTGCCATTTGTCTCTAGATCTATTTTTGTTCATCAAATTGTGTTGATCATTATATCCCACATATGAATGAGATCATGTGATATTTATCTTTCTCCTACTGGCTTATTTCACTTAGCATAATGCTCTCAGTTCCATCCATGCTGTTGTAAAAGGTAAAAGTTCCTTCTTTTTTATCGAGGTTTAGTATTCCAATGTGTAGATGTACCACAGTTTTTTAATCCACTCATCTGCTGATGGGCACTTAGGTTGTTTCAAAATCTTAGCTATTGTAAATTGTGCTGCTATGAACATAGAGGTGCATGTATCCTTTCTGATTGGTGTTTCTGGTTTCTTGGGATATAGTCCTAGAAGTGGGATCACAGGGTCAAATGGGAGCTCCATTTTTAACTTTTTGAGGAAACTCCCTACTTTTATCAAGGAAGCTGTCTCAGCATCTGAAGCACAGGCCAAAAGTCCTCTGGTGATCCATTTACTTCACTGACCCAAAAGTGATAAAACTCAGTGTAGAAAGAGGAGGATCCCTTTCAAAATTAGAGTTCAAGAAAATACATATAACCAGCCAGGAACATCCAGACCCCTGATGGAAAAATTCTTAAAACTAATACTTTGGAAATCCTTTATTTCCAAGATTTATTCCTGATGCTGTTCCTGAGCAGAAGGCAAGATTTTTCTGTCTTTGGGTTTAATTTCCATTCTCTTCTCACTTTGACGCTTATTTTTCTTCATTGAGCATCCAGTGCCAATTATTTTCCTGGTGTCACCTAATTTCGACCACAACCTGAGCTGATCTGAATTATAGCCCACATAATTTATCCAGATATCCTTACCTGTCTATTAAAATGTAAAGTGTATATTTATAAATATAGTTACCAGGGTTGGGAACATGCATCTGTAGGAGCATTTATTTTTAGATTCTATATTCAAGTCACAGAAATAAAACCCATGAGAGCAGTTCTGAGTGTGTGTGTGTGTGTCTGTGTGTGTGTATATGTCTGTGTAAGAGTATATACATACAAAAATATACATGTACACAAAATTGTACTATATATGTTATATATACAAAATTGAATTACTCCAATCTCAAATAAAGTCACTTAAATTTGTCATCTAAAATAATTTTAGAAGAATTTTTAAATCATAATTAGAAACCAATGATCAAACTTCTTGAATAGCAGTTAAAAATAAAATGACAACCAAAGAACTTACGTGCATATATGCATAACCGAAGGACACAGACAATAGTGAGACGAAAGCTGGAGGAAGGGATGGGAGTGAGGAGGAGGGAGTCAAGGGGGGAAAAGGGGACAGCAGTAATATTTTCAATAACAAAAACAAATTTAAAAAAAAATGAAATTTGACATTAGTGAAACTCGATAGTCTCAAATACTTTTCTATGTTCAAGGATTATGACATGGCAGTTAGGTTAATAATATTATATTTTCAGCAGCTCCTAACATGCTATTTGAGGAAATGGATTGCCTATTTTAAAGAGGTAATTTTTATTTTCAAAGATGAAAATAACCTGTTTTCTTAGCAATAATTAGTGAAGTAGCAAAAATTATTTTTGAGTAATTAGCATATTTTATTACATTGTCAAAGGAACCAAAGGGTATTGCAATTGGAATCTAACATTTAATATCTATCTCCTAATGTCCTTGAAATAGACACATATCATAAGGAAAAATTTCACATACTCATATGCTAATAATTCTGTATTACTTGCATCATTATCATTTCAGGGGGAAAACTAAAGAGTAAAATTGATTAAGATTTATTTTAGAACTTATTAAATCCAAAGTATAAATTAAAATAGAAGGACTACATAAGGTTAAACAATAATTTGTTTTTATTAGTTGAAAAATATGCTTTTATTTTTTCTAAATAGAGTCAGAAAGAACCTGATAATTTTAATGTGAGAGAAAAATCCAGTAAGAGTATGTTCTGTGTAAAAGGAATGGGTATTAAACCCGGATTGTGCTTGGTTAGAATAGTTACAGTATTCTGGAGCATTCACTAAATTTTTCTGAACTTTATTTCCTTCTTTGTAACAGGAATTATTCATGTCTCCTCTGCAAGATTATGGTAAATATTATTTCTATCAGCCTAAAATATGCTCAAAATCGAAAACTTTAGAGATCCAAAAGATGCTATCACGAAAGTGAAAAGACAACCCATAGGATGGAGAAAATGTTTTCAAATCATGTATCTGATAAGAGTCTAGAACCCAGGATATATAAAACTTTATTTTGATTCAATAATAAACAGGCAAATAACTCAAAGAGAAATAGATTAGAATAGACATTCTCAGTCCCACCCCCCCCCAAAAAAAAGAAAGTAAAAGGAGTTAGTCATAAAAGTCCATATACTGCTTGATTCCATTTATATGAAATGTCCAGAACAATAAAGTATATAGACACAAAAAGTAGATTAGTAGTTGCCAATGGCTGGTGAAAGGGGAATGAGAAATGAATGGAAATGGATAGGAGTTTCTGTTTAGGGTGATGCAAATGTTCCAGAATTAGATATTGGTGATGGTTATACAACCTTGTGAACACACTAAAACTGTGACTACTATGGTATATGAATTATACCTCAATTAAAAAAATAGAACTAAAAATACCCCCACTCCCCTACAGAAACATTTAAATGGTTTGACATAGAAAGCAAGCGATTCTTACCTCGAGTATAACATGGGTTTCGGGTTCTGTTGTGCAGTATTTCCGTTTCATTTTCCTGGGGCCACCGGAAACATTTATGCTTCAGGTTGCCCATGAAGAACCCCATCCCAATGAGAGAAAACACGATCAGAAAAAATAGAGTAAGGACAATGATGCCAGTAAGTTTCTTCAAGCATCGGAGCAGGATCCCTACATAAGACTTCACACCTGAAAAGAGACAAATTTGTTTCCAATAAAGTAAAATACTTCTGTAAAGAAGCATTAGCAAACTTTTCCCATGGCAAATACATATCCATTGAAATTGGTAGCTTTGTATTTCATAATCTAATTTACCGTTATCTAGGGCTAATAAATAAGATAAATAAAACACCAAACTGTAAGGTTTTTGTATAATTGCTAATTTTTTATATTTAACAAAATAAGGTAATTATATATTTTCATATAAAATATATAATTAGTTACTTGTTTCTCTTTACTACATAAAGGACAGGCTTTCTCTCTTGGTTACTGTTTTTCAAACCAATCACTATTGTTTATAAGCATAAGTAAAGAGATAGAGTTATTCATCAAAATGAGCTGAAAATGTTGAAACAAAAACTAGTTTGAAACAGCAGTATTTTATAATATTCTTTTATTAATTTTTAAGAATTCATTTTTTTGGAGCTGATTAAATAAGAGGTGTAAAACCAATGGATAAACCAAACACTACATATGTATATAACCAAGTCTTCATTAAAAATGAAATATTTAACAAGTATTTCCATTTTATTAGAAGAAAAATGGGGTCACTTTACTGTAATGTAATTTCTGTGACTACCATAATGAACTTTTAAAACATGTATATTTGCATTGTACTTCTGTTTGGCAACCATCCTGAGTCGTCTGTATATTATTTTACTGAAAAATGTTTCATATTGTTCTATTGGAGTAGTTCTTAAATAAGAACACACACACACGTGTGTGTGTGTGTGTGTGTGTGTGTGTGTGTGTGTGTGAATATATGTATGTGTGTATAGATATACAGTATATATAAATCAAGTTTTGTGAGTTTCAATCTATTGGTTACATTTTGTTTGAAGGTAAAAAAGTCACCATCCAATTTTACAGAATCAAATTTATTAATAATTTCCTTTGTTACCTATCATTCATTGTTACCTACCATATGCCAACTGACTTTGATTTCTTGGTTTTATTTTCCCCTTCATTTTAGTTTTAAACTTTTATTTTGTTTTAGTTTAGGTATCTCTGGTGGAGTTTAATTTATTTCTGATTTAATATCAAAGTCTCTACATCTTGACAGAAAATTTTAACCCGATTATTTTTATTTTCATAAGTTGCCTTTATTTTGGATTGGCCTTTGCCATTTTGATTTCTTAGTTTTATATTTCCCTTATGATTTTCTATGTGTTTTGTCTTTCCTAAATTAACTTTGATATTTTTCTTTTTGCTTCTAGCATGTCTATTGTGAGCACTTGTATCAAACTTAAATTCTTATTTTGAACAAATGTACTATCTACATAAAAAATAAAACTGTATCTACTATAGTCTTCTCACATTTCTCAGTTTCTAGTTCTCATTTTGTTAATATAATTTTGAACCTCTGACCTAATTATAATAGTTGAATTGTATGGATTTTGCATTAGATAGTATTTTTTATGATTTACAGGAAAGATAATATTGATATTCTTTTTAAAAATATATATTTTATTGATTTTTCATAGGGAGGAAGAGAGAGGGATAGAGAGTTAGAAACATGGATGAAAGAGAATCATTGATCAGCTGCCTCTTGCACACTCCCTACTGGGGATGTGCCCGCAACCAAGGTACATGCCCTTGACCGGAATCGAACCTGGGACCTTTCAGTCCGCAGGCTGATGCTCTATCCCCTGAGCCAAACTGGTTTTGGCTGATATTCTTACAAAGACTTGTCAGAAAATATAAATTCGTGCAAGTAGGGAGTGGAGGAGATTTGATAAATGTGCCTGACCTAAACGGTAAGCTGCTCTTCAATTACAGGTGGTAGTTGCATCCAGGAATTTGGTTGGATTGATGCTGACAATTTATCCAAATTAATCTAGATTTGAATGTGAAATGACCAGATTTTTATAAGGTTGGTATCTATTCCAAAGTTTTTAAAAACACAAACAACATATGTTTCTAGTTCAAAAATGACCCTCAGATGTCCATGCTAGAATTTATAATTTATAATATTTGTATTTTGTTTTGCAACCCACTAACAACATAATTTGGAATTCATTCTCTGTTGAAATGATTTAAGATTTCATTGTGATTACTTTTGATAGTAAATCTTCTCATTGTTGAATATTTTATTTTTATATTTTTGTTTTTTAGCAGACATTCAAGAAAGACACATGTAAAATTCAAGAATTCTTAGGTGACTGAGATTATTTTTCTGTTGACTTCACATATAAATGAGAAACAGGTATGAAGTTCTGGTGTCATAACCTCCCTGCCTACATGCCCTCCAAGTTCTGAAACTCTACTGTCCACTCACGAGATCTAAGGATTACCTTTCCATAGGTTCTTTATCTTTGTTTTTGAACTTGTAGGAGTTTTATAATACTTTTATGAATGCATCATTTGTTTGTTTGTTTATTTATTTATCTAGTATAAAATTAGCCTTTTCCATTTGTGACTAAGATCTTTCTCAATTTAAGTGATTTAAAAATTCTAGTGTATTTTTTAATAATTTGTCTTTTACATTATTCTGTCTCCTTTTTAGTATTACTTATTATCCATAAAATGAAACTTAAGTTTTCTCTCCTTTATTAATCCATCCAAATTTTGGTTCTACTGTATTAATATAGAATGTCTAATTTTTCTGTACAACATGTTTTGCTTTACCATAATACTATACAGATGATACTATATTTTACTGCCATCAAATATTAACTAAAGTTACTATTGTATAATTTTATCATATTTTAGTTTTAACAGTATTTTTACTTGTCATTTTATAATCTAATTTTCCTCTTTTGCTTAAAAGAGTCTCAATTTTCTTCTATTGGGACTACAAAATATGATTTTTTTTTATGCTTGCTCCTATTTCTGAGAGTTTTTAAAGAAAAAAATAATTATTTTCATTCTTTTAAATAGTATGTTTCTCTTTCTGTGTTGCAAAATATTTTTATACATTTTATATTGCTGCTATGTGCCATGATTCCTTTCTCCCTTGCAAAGAGCAGGTCCTACCAGCCTGTGTGCGCTCAACTCCAGTGTGTGTATTCCTCTTGCATTAACTGGGACCCACCTGATTTCTTCTATAATCCTTGCCAAGATGAAGATGCAGTTGATGCAATTTTATGTTCTAGTGATTTGCAGAGACCAGTAAGGAAGTTCAGACTGTGACTATTCCTAGCAGGGCAATTCTCACTGGTTTCTTCACTGGGTTTGGCAAAACTGTCTTGTCACAAATCATGTTTATTATACACCTCTACTGAGTTATAGCTCACAAACCATACAAGTCACCCATTTAATGTGTACAGTTTAATGTTTTAGTATGGTCACACGGTTATGCATCTATCACCACACTCCCCAATCTTTTTGCTGTTTTGCCAACCTGAAATTAGTTTGGATTGATACCTAGTATGCATGTGTTTGGCATTCTTTGTGGTGTGCCAGTGCACAAAAGCTGCCTGGAGTTCTTAGTTTTGGTATTATCACACCTGCCTCAGGATTTATTGATCTAACTATTTCATACTACTCTAAATCACAGCAGGAAAAAAACCAAAAACCTGATTGGAGTTTTCCTACTTTGTTGTTTTTATTCATTCTGAATAACAAATTAGAAGGTTTTAAGGGATCTTCAGGAATAAGAGCTAAAATTTGTCCTCAGCATCTTCCATCAATGTGGTCACAGCATTGTTTAGCAGGAATTCCTTGAATGTTGTAGCATATGAAATACTGAGTGCTTTTGTTCCAAGCACTCAGAACAAAAAGGAATTTATTTATCTTATTTTATATTTCTTTATTCATTTCATCTGGTTGTTAGATGCAATTAGAAAAATAAGAAGTTATATTAGATATCTGTCTAGGATGCTATCTCTCTAGGAAGTCTAAAGACAATTATATAAGTTCATATTTAAGATGTAAGTATAAATAAATAAATATTAAAAATAGAAAAATTATTTTTATTGATATCTATATTTTATAATTAAAGAACCCACCTCAAATAAATAAATCAAATGTGTAATTTATTTTGCTTTTCCTGTAGTGACTGAAACAAATTTAAAGATCAGATAATTCATTAATTGAATAAGCTGAAGCAGTATTCAATTTAATATTTTTCCAAACAACAACAGAGAAATTCAAATGATTATATGGGAGTACATGAAACAAAATGAAGAAAAGAAACTCAATATTATTTCTTACCTTCGTTTAAGGGAATAATTTTCAAAATTCTCAAACTTCTTGCAACTCTAAATATTGGTATGAAGTTTAGAGGTGAATATATTGTTATGTGCCTGTGGAATTAAGTTAGAGTTATTTAGAGGTTATAGGATGTATCTTCAACTCCTTATGTTCTTTAAAACTTATTTTTAAAGCCATAATCCAAACATTTCCCTTGCTTCCATTGCTCCATTTTGAAAATAGTTTTATTACTGATTGGAAGATGAAGATTGCTACAATTAATCCACAAACAAATTATGAGAATTTATCAAGTTTTGACACTGTGAGTTCTCTTAAGTCCATATTTATGTCATCTTCATAAATATTTTGTTACCTAACTAACAAAAAGATTATTTTAAATACAAAACCACAGTCTTTTAAAGGAATGAACTTCGATGTAAGGGTTTAGGTGATTCTGATGATGACAATGGTAATGGTGGTGATAGCAGAAGGCAGGGTACATACTGGTCCAGAGCACAGACTCTGGATCCAGACTGCCTGGGTAGAAATCCACTCTTAACTAGCTGTGTGACAGAGAAAAATTACTTAACCTTGCTTGCCTCAGTTTCCTCAGAAGTAAGGTGTGGTTAATACTTCCTTTTTCAGAGGATTTGGACTAGGTGAGCTAATATATGTAAGATGCATAGAAAAGCAACTGGCACATGCTATAACATATCTAAATGTTAGCTATTAACTAAGTGCTTGCTAACAAAAACAGCAGAAATAATCTATACTAATAATCTATATACTAATAAAAGGGCAATATGCTAATTAGACCAGGAGACCTTCTGGATGTCCTTCTGGACAAAGCCTTGGTGGAGGGGCTGAGGCAAAGGCAGTTAGAGGAGATCAGGCCAGGAGGGGCGAGCAGTTGGGGTGATCAGGCCGGTAGGAGGCAGGTAGTTGGAGGCCAGCAGGCCGGCAGAGGGGGGACTATTGGGGGCGATCAGGTTTGGGGTAGGAGTTGGGGGCAAGCAGGTTGGCAGGGTGGGGGCAGCAGGAAGGGAAGTTGCAGGGGAGAAGCCTGTAAGGGGGGTGGCAGCATTTGGGGGCAAGCAGGCCAGCATGCAGAGTGGTTAGGGGCGATCAGGCAGGCAGGCAGGGTGAGCTGTTAGGAGCCAGCAGTCCCAGATTGTGAGAGGGATGTCCAACTGCCAGTTTAGGTCTGATCCTAAACCGCCTGTTAGACATCCCCTGAGGGGCCTCAGATTGGAAGGGGTGCAGGCTGGGCTTAGGGACACCTCACCCAACTCTCATGCACGAATTTTGTACATCAGGCCATTAGTGATAGTAATAGTAGAAGTACTAGTGATAATTGCAATAATTTTAGCTACTATTTTTTATTGCATACCATATGGCAGACACTAATTATTAACCTTTATAAATATTTTTTGATGAAAAATTCTTGACTCAAAATCTAGAAATAGAGTATTATTTTTAATTTCTATAATAGGAGTTCAACACCATTGATCACTCAGCTACAAAGCAAAGTATATTAAACAGATGCACTGAAAAAATAAATACACATGTATACCATTAGATAATGTAACAACACTATAAAATGTAGAAAATGTATGTGTGTGTATTTTTAAAATATCTTATTTATATATCTAATATATTTATTGGTATTAAGAAAGGTAGCTAAAAAAATGTAAATGTGAGACAGAACCAAATATGCCAATATCCTCTACTAAGTCTCCAGAAGATTTTCTGCTCTCTAAATCTAACTTAAAAAGCAAAAATCAACCTCTATTTCTTTCATTTCATATAGAAAGCATAGAGAATATCCCATTTCTTTCATTTTTATTCCATACTCTATGACCTAGCTCAGTTGGAGCTGTCTCAGAGAACTCACTTAGATTAGAATTTATAAAATATTCTATATTTGCAAAATTTTTCAGGCAGAAAATTTTGCCAACTTCAATTTTTTCATGAAAAGCATATGCTTAGCAAGGCATTAACATGTTCACAACTTAAATACTCACTCAAACAAAGTTACACTGAAGTCAAGCCAGTTCCATGGATCACCAAAGAAATAGAAAGATCCTGTCCAGATGCCTCTTGCAATGAGTTTTACAAGTATTTCAAATGTGTAAATTGCAAGCAAAGTGATCCTGCAGACAAATTTACATATTAAAATTATAAATATAAATATAAATATAAATATAAATATATATATATATTTATATATATATATAGTTAAATAATACATTGTCAGTTCTGAAATACAATGTCTATGATAACTGTCTGGCAAGCAATCAACTAATGAACCAAGCAACCAACCGGTCAATAAGAACAGCAAGTGCCCTTAGAACCCCAGGCAGGCTTAGATAGTGCTTCTGTGGTGGCATATGTCTCATGGCATTAGCCATACAATTTGATTATCAATTATTTTTTCAACAAATCCTAGCTCAAGGTTATATTCTCTATATATATTTAGATAAATGGTGAAAATATAACATATCAACTTTATTCCATATTGGGGAACACACTGAATTGTAAAGAGGTTTAAAGAAAAAATTTTATTATATGTTTAAGTAAGGATTTTTTATAGTGAGTCAGCACTATATTTATCTTCAAAGTCAACTAGTTTTAAGAAGAGAATTAAATTTGAGAGGTAGCATCAAAAAAAGCCTTCATCCCTAGAAAATGTAATGGGCCTTTCCATCATTATAGGCTAATGCAACTCAATCTACTCACATCTCTCAGAAAAGAGAAAGAAAAATAACAACTTTTCTTAAAGAATAAAAAGAAAGTGATTTGAGTTTGAAGCAAATCAGGTATGGGATTGCAATAGTTAAAATCTGAGGCACTGAAATATTACATTAATCCTTAGTGATTAACTTTAAAATAATACCATAGACATAAACAGCTAAAGACTCAAATTTACACAATGTTAACCTAACAGGTTTAGAAATAATTAAAGGGTAAAAAAAAAACATTAAAATTGATTAGTTGATATATATGTAGAGTTCTATTTGGCAAATTCATTAATCATGGTATATGTGTAAATATCATATTATGTACAATGAATATCATATATACATTATAAATAATAAATTATGCAATGTTATAATACTTAGTAGGTAATGTACTATAACTCCACATGTAAATACAAAATATAATCTTATATGAGATTACATACAATAAAATTATATAACTTACTGTAATTCTGGTCCCCACTTTGGCCACTTAATCAGGGACATAAATATGCAGTCAACCAGTACGCTAATCAAAATTAAAAGTCGAAAAAGAGTAGATTGTGGTCAAGGAATAATAGATAATAAATAATATTGGAAATATATGTTTCTAAATCTGTTTATATGTATATACATGTATGAGATAAAATCATTTCTTAAATTATCAAAAACATATGTCATATTGATAAGTGATAAAAATTAAGATTTATTAATGTTTAAATGCATTTTCAAATATTAAACACTTAGTGCAGTTATAATCCAAATTTGTATTTAACCTAAAATGAGATATCAATTCAAAAGAGGAAATGACTGCAGCAATATTTGAATAGAATGGTTGCATTTGATATTTGTACATTCTAAAGCCAATAGCAAAGGATATGGATGTACCAAAATCTTAACAGTTGCTCTTCTAATCGAATTGAAAGGAGACAATGTACACCAGGTGGCATTAAATCTGAAAATTTTTCTCTTCTTATTTAATACCATGAAAGTCTGTAAGGCAAAAAAGAAGATCATGTGAAATTAGAACATAAACTACATAATCTAACCAACTATGCAACATATTGACAATGGTCATTTCTGTCATGAACCCCACCCTCCCATACCTTCCCTTTGAGATTTTAACATCTGATCTATGCTTCTATGAAAATTAATACTTTTTCTTGAACATTAACTTACCAGACAATGAATAACTGTACAAATAAATAACATAATGCAAATAAACCTATTTTTCTTGTTCTCCCAAAGTGAAATATTTCTTGTTGTGTACAACCAAACAAGTCAGTCCAAGACTAATGACGTGGAAATTGGCTGCTAAAATATTCACTGCTAGTGTTAGTGGAGAGAAATGGCGTGCCTGGGTGTAAGGCGTGTAAGGGAAATGATGCAACATGATTTCAGTGATTGGTCGTTAGCAAACATTGTAGTTCGTTATTAATAATTATGTATAACAGGATATTGTAAAAATTAAGTTATGAAATTTTTATTAAAATGTTTCTTACATACCATTAAATTGGCTGGGCCACAAAAATATTCATTGTGGGCCGCATGGGGCCCACGGGCTGTGAGTTTGACGTGCTTGCTTTACAAAAACATCAAATTACATTTGTCCACAGTGGGGCTAATCATTTTGTCCCCCAAACTTGATCTTTTTTATAGTTACTGCATTTCTGTCAGCAGCACCACCATTTTTTCAGGCTAAAGACGTTGGCATTATTAATCAGTCTTCAAATCTTGCTGATTCTTCACACAGGAGCTGTCCCCTGGTGGTAAGTGGGGTGGGGGCTTAAGCCGACAAGTAGACATCCACTGAGACATGCACTCTTGAACTGCAAGAGTGCACAGGCTGGGCTGAGGGACACATCCTCCTCCCCAAGCACAAATGTCATGCATCAGGCCTCTAGTTCCATGCACTAGTATAATATCACCATAAAGGATATAATACTTAGGAATACATTTAATAAAAGCAAACACATGTACATTGGAAACTGCAAAACATTGTTGAAATAAAGAAGATCTAAATAAATGTAAAGACATCTCATGTTCACAGGTGGGGAGAAAATTTTTTTTAAAAAAAAGTATAACAGTATAGCCTATTACAAAGTAAAGTATCCCCAAACAAACTAGCCAACCAGGTAAACAGTGACTTTTGATAAAATTCTCAAATATGTGTGGGACGTCCTATGTAGTTTTATATAATTTAAAATTATTTTCTAATTTGTTCTTCATTCTCTTTTTATGTCTTATCTCAATTACATTTTTTTTGCATGTCTGAAAAACAAATGTGGTCACAGTAAGTTCCACTGATCCTTACATTTTTATTCTGGTAGTATGGATCCACGTCTTCCAAGGGCTCTGACACCATTCCTTTAGGAAGATTTCCATAAACAAGTGGAAGCTCTTTTCCAACTTCCAAGTCAGTGTTTGGCTTTAAATCTTCCTCTTGTTCCTCATTGTGTTTTTTAGCAATACGCTGTTCCATAAGTTCTAGAGACTCCCTCGTGAAGAGGGCAAGGCCCTTAGGTTCTGGGGAAGCCATTTTCAATTTTGCACCTGCAAAAAAATGTATTTTTTTAGCTCCCTATTGAATTTAGCTATACTGTAGAAAGAAAAATTTTAAATTAAAAAGTTTAGGGAAAACATAAATAAAAGGTAACAGTATTCAAAGAAAAGTATTCAAAGAAAAGTCCTGAGTTTTGTAGAAAACTGAGCTGTTAAATTAGGTCCTGTTATACTTAATATTGGGCTTAATTTGTAATTTCATGTGTAACTCATTCTGTTTTCTTTACCTCTCCACTGAATCCTTTTCCTCTTACTGAAATATTGCTTTCCCTTTCAGCTTTTAATGAGTTCTAAAGCTGCTAGAGATTTGGAGGTGGGAGGTGGGGAATCCAGATATTTCACTCTCATCTGCATTTAACTATTAACTAGGCTTTCCTTTCCTAAAGGCAGTCTTCATTGCCTCTGAACCCTACTCTTCTCTTGTTTTTCTTAAAATTAAATTTATTGGGGTGACATTAGTTAATGAAATTATGTAGGTTTCAAGTGTACAATTCTATGATACATAATCTGAATACTGTGTTGTGTAAAGTCAAATTTCCTTCCATCACCACACATTCAACCCCCTCTACCCTTCTCTACCCCTCCACTCCCATTTTTTTCTCTGATAACCACCATACTGTTGAGTGTGTCTATGAGGTTTTTTTTTGTTTGTTTTGTGTTGTTTTTTTGTTTGTTATATCTACATTAAAAAAAGGAAAACATTTGTTTGCAAAGTTAAATGCAATCCTATGTTCATGGCAGCATTATCCACCCTTATGATTCTGAATACTCCATTTGACACAGTTTTTCCCTCCAAATTTTAACTTTGATATCCCTTAAAGTTATGCCTTTCCCTTTTGGTATGTCATTTCTTTTGGTGAATGCATAGGCAAGCACAGTTTTAATTACTATACATGAATACTTACTGAGTACATTTCCCAAAATACTATTTTTCTTCTGTAATTTATGTGGCAAACCCACCAAAGAGAGAAACTTAACAAGTCAAAACAAAATTTATTATTTTTCCCCATGGCTATTATCAATCTTTAACTTTCTACTCATTATATAAAAAAGCACAAATATAAACTAATTATCTTGAATTTGACTCATGAGATTTATATTTGTCATCAATTTCTCTAAAGAAAATAATGTTCTTTCAATTATTTTTCATTATGTATTTAAATATGATCAATTGTTTACATAGCTACAAAGATATAAGTCATCTATATCTTATTTGATATTGTAGCTGCCATCCCAGCTTCAATTTTATTTGATTTTCAGTTTAATTTCTCCCATATGCCTATATCTCAAAAACTGTAAAAAGATACTCTTAATTGGTCTAGCCCAGCCTATGAATTTATTTCCCCTTGGTACAGTCACTTGTGACTAGAGAGAAACATTTTCACAATAGCAACAGCTTCTTACCTTATGTCTACTTCCCTCAAGGCATGTTATAAGGATGGGGTGTGAAACAATTTTAAAGAGATAAATATGGAGTATGCATAATGGCATGTATCTACTTGGATCTTTCTTTCCAGATTAATGCTTTAAAAAACTAACAATTGTTCATTTTAAAATTTGCTTATTTTCCAAGTACCTTGCTCAATATCATGCAAAAAAAACTAACACATTAAAAGTTGGTTAAGAATCATTTATGTACATACAAACATATGTACATACAAACACATCTACAGCAACAACACAATTTATAAACAGGCTACAGATACTTAAGTTTGTTCTTACATTTGAAATTTTATTTCTTTAATATATTAAATGTGCTTTCAAAATTGAACTACTTACATGGTGTTCCTTGAGTGTAAATAAAAAGATTTCTTAATGACTTATGATTACAGGTTAGTATAAATAATATACAAATGAAATCATGAACTTTGAAATTATATAGACATGCATTCAAAAGCTAAATTCTGTTATTAATGTTCTGAGAGGTCTCAGTCAAGTTACTCAATATTCTTGAACCTTCAGTCATAAAATTGGTGTTTTTCTTTGGGTTAAATAAGAATAAAATACCGTATTTTTCGGACCATAAGATGCTCCGGACCATAAGACGCACCAGTTTTTAGAAAAGGGAAATGAAGAAAAAAAGATTCTGAAACAAATAGTGTCCTAAAATATTTTATGTGCATTAAAACCCAACATCACAGTCATAAACACATGTAATCAACCCTGTAAAGTAAACAGCAGCATTTAGAACCATGCTAGAGCCGGGCAAGCACACAGAGACCACACAGAGCCGGGCAAGTAAAAAAACTTTTTTTTTTAAAGTATATGTGTAGGCTATATTTGGACCATAAGACACAGGGACTTTTCCCCCCCACTTCTGGGGGGAAAAAAGTGCGTCTTATGGTCCGAAAAATACGGTAAAATAATATAAGTGACAATGCCTAGTACATTGGCACCAAATAAATGGGAAGTAAATGTGAATTTTAATTGTAATAAGATTTTTATATCTGAGAATGATGGGCCAAATCTAATAAAATAAAATATAATGGGAATATATGTATGGTTATGAAAGTTGAACCAAAAAATCCCATCTACACGAGTACAGTGGAGATACTTTTCTGTAACAGAGAAAACTGCCAAGGGATTTTAGTTAATAGTAACTGCAATGTAAATCAATACTACCCTGTATCTGCCAAAATAGCTACATAACCTTGATCTATATAAGCAGATCTTCTCTGTTCTGCTGTAATCCATAACCAGACCCCAAAGGCATGTGGGTGAACTGAAGGGTCTTCAGATGAAATCGGAATATTGATTAGACTCAAATCACAGCATCAATAGACTATTTAAAAGAATAGAGACTACATTAGTTCAAGTAGAAAAGACTAAAGTAAAACATTCTCTTTTCAAAGCATTATAACATTGCCTGAGTCATGTTTCTTCACATGTAAACCAGAATCACTCATGTATTGCACAAGGTCATAAGAGTTAAACAGGCCATATACAGAAAGCCTGCAGGACAGGACTGACTCTGTCCATGCTAACTCTCTCTCACAATTCAGTTATCCCAGAAGACTTCCTTAGTGATATATTTTTTTAAATTTTTAAAATGTTTTTATTGATTTTAAAGAAGAAGGAAGAGGGAAAGAGAGATAGAAACATAAATGATAAGAACCATCCAAAAAAAAAAAAAAAAAAAAAAAAAAGAACCATCCATTGGCTGCCTCCTGCACGCCCTCTAATGAGAATCAAGCTCACAATCTGAGAAAACTCTGACCTGGTATTGAACCCTGACCTTCTGGATCTTGGGTCGATATTCAACTACTGAGCCATACAGGCCAGGCTCCTTAGTGATAATTTTGATACTGAATGAAGGTATTGTGGGTGGTTGACTATGTAAATGAATGGATAGTGAGCACTGACTTCTATAGTATGTCAAAGAAATGCAAGTACTTATCAAATGGAACCGACTTGCATCTGACTTCTAGATGGCTAAGAAAAGATTATAAATTATTAATAATTAAGTCACACTTAGATAAAAGCATTTCTGAGGGGAATTTATAAAATATGGTCCAGGCACTATGCTTTCTGGGGAGTGATCTTAATACAGCACACTAAAACCTGAAAAATATAGAAAGATTAATAGTTAATCTGTCCATTAGACTGCCTTTCTAAAAAATCGAAAGCTAAAGTGCGCTTTTGGCAAGAATTGTATCAAATTAAGTTTGGACTCTAACAAGTTCTAGTTGCACTAATATTTTATATTGATTAAAGTGCAAGCCATGTATCTTGGATATCAGCTCAAAGTAACACAACCAGCATCAATATGAGAAAAAGAGAGGCATTATGACAGAAAAGTATTCTCCTTATAACAATTTTCAAGCATTTGAAAATGAGCTAATAGTGTATTTGTCATAATTAAAGCAATTATAATTTTGGTCACACTTACTGAGTGACTACCATTTGTGAGGCACTGGACTACATGTTTCTATTATCTCATGTTCTCTCATGTCATCCTTGTGATCACCATTTATAAATAAGGAAACAGACATTGATGAGTTTCATGACTTCTCCATCATAGTATAGCTAGTTGAGTGGTGAAAATATATGCTAACTCGGGTGTGCCCAGTGAAATATTTTTGGTGGTTTGAGCTGAAGTATCATTGATGCTCACTGGACTGCTTCTGCCATATGATATTGGCTGTGATCTTGGCTTTGACTTAGTCCTCCCCTTCTCTCTCTGTCCTTCCATTTTCTTCTGTGGATGCCCAGATTAAGGATAATTGAGAGCTGAGTTTAAATTTATCAATGATTTCATTTCTCACAGGCAGATATGTTACTGTCATTAAGCATAACTTGAAGCATTGGCATTATATAGAATATACTTAGTAGTTTATTTCAAAACAGAGTGGCAAAGTAGAGGCTATTCAATAATTGATACAAAGAAGTTAGTAGGAAATGCTTTTCTCCCAAGTATTTTCACCATTAGTGGGAGTGTTCTCTTTCTGTCAGTCATTTCAACTTAAATTTAGACCACATTCTCTGTAAAGCCTTTGGAGCATGAGAGAGAATGCATTTGGGTTGAATTTTACTTTTTCTTCACGGGCATTTTGAAGTTTGGGCATTCTCTGATTTCTAGTTTTGCTGTTGTATGGGTTTTGTGTCTTTTTAATTGTTGTTATTGTTTTGTATTGCATTGTTCACGAAACATATTGGGAGTTTCAGAGTCAGGCAGTTCCCATTATCCTTCATTCCAGACACTTCTAATAGCCAAAGGAATTTTGGATGGCTGAATGATTTAAATGCTAAATGAAATTTAAAATGAAAAACCTATACAATAAAATTTATAAAAGAAAGCATAAATAAATGGCTTTATAATTATTTAAAATGAAGGTCCTAGTTTATGAAGCAAAGTGATGGCTAGGATGTGAGAAAATAAATACTTTAATATAAACTTTTTTGGTAATATAAATTGGTACATATTTTCTAAAAACGTATCTGGCACTTGTTCTCTAATTTAAAATATATAAACTTACCTTAGTAATTTGAGC